TGCAGGGATCTTGAGCCAGGTTTTTCATGAATGCCTCGTCCGAATCTGTAATATGTAGGAGATGATAAGGTGCTTGAATTCTGCACATGCAAGTACCTATTACTAACTTGTGATAGCCTCGATGTGAATGGGGTTGCTTACACTGGCAGCTCTATATATGCAAACCAACTTGAAAGGAAGGTGGTTCGTTGAGTCCCTTATCAGGTAAATGATTGGCAGTTGCGACGTTGAGCCCTTTTAGTAAAACGTTATGCTCTGTTGGTGTGAACCATCCGAATCCGATAGAGGCCACTGACTATTCAGTACTCAGTGTTTGCACGCTTCAAGTCTGTCAGACGTCATACACAAGAAAAAACGACTGTCCGACTAGGGGGACAACTCAGACATAAAACAAAGCTCACCGCTGAGGTACGATACCGTACGAAACATGCTGCACCAGTTGGTCCTCAACTCACTTTGTCCGAGTCATCGATAGCTGGGGCTGGCTAGCACTCTGTCGATCCGGGATGTTAGCAGGGAAATCGTCACCTGGCATAACGATGATAGATTATTGTCCGCATTCACAACACAATGCCATACTCGTCGTGGACAGCGTTGACTCACACATTCTTGGATCGAGCATGCTAACGTCACTACGGTCGTCTGGGCTGACATCCATTGTCCAACAGGTGATTATGTTATTGATGTTCTATTCAGGCTGCACTGCGTCCGCGCGTCATTGTCACGGTACTTCAGTGTCTCGTATGTTGTGCTTTGTGGTTGAGATTTTTTTTTACTAGGCGCTTTGAATATACTCATCGAAGCAGTGATGGGTCAAATATTGTCTTATCTTTGATGCACATGATAGGGGATGTAAGTAACGTGATTGACATGCCGCCAGCTCGGGAACAAGCAACGACATCGCTGTCTTTCGTCTAAGGTATATGGCATGAGCACACCTAGACGTTTCACTCTTCATAATGCTACTATGTAGTAGGTGATCGACGGTGACGTCGATGGTCCAAACCCGGAAAATATGACATAGGAGGTGTCTTATAGATAATGTGTTATTTCTTCCCCCTCCTCTCGCATTCCTCACTCCATTAGTATCACACTCAACTAGCAAAATGGTGAGTAGATCATGTTCTCCTTCAGGTCGAGCGACATTAATTACGTTACTTGCGCTTGCAGGTCAAAGTAGGCATCAACGGGTAGGTCGTTGGTGGGGAACAAAAGCGAACAACTTCTAACAATGCATATATTACCCTGTCTGTTTTCAGATTTGGTCAGTATATTTGCTCTGTATGTGTTGAATGACGTGTTTCTGACATTTATAGGCCGTATGGGCCGTACCTTCATGCGTCACGCGGTCCAGTACCAGGACATCGAAGTCGTTGCCATCAACGAGTTAGTATATCTTCGTTATCAGCCACCTGTGTCCATCTAATCCTTTCTTCCCGCTCACAGCCCCGTGTTAAAGCTAGACGACATGGTTGGTTTAATTTCTGGGTGCATTAGGGGTAGCCCCTATTTTATTACGACCACAGGCGGCCAAGTTCAAGTCCATCCCCGTTCACGGTAACTTCGAGGGGGATGTTCATGCGGGGTAGTAGAGATGGCAAGCTCTACATCGGCAAACAAGCCCATCCACGTATTCAGTCAAAGCAAGCCAAGAGGACATCAACTGGGGATCGGTTGGCGCTAACTATATCATTGAGTCGAGTGTAAGTGTTTTACATACGAATTTAAGCTACATAGTCTTGAGCAAAGTTGAACAGGGGTTTTTCACCACGAGAGGCCAAGTAAGCTCTGTCGAAGACTTGAGTTGATAGTGATGCTGATGACTTACTAGGGCAGCCGCCCATTTAATGGTGGGTGGTGCCAAAAAAAGTCATCATCACTGCGATATCTAATGCGCCGATGTTTATCTGTGGTGTCAACCTCGATGCGTACAAACCAGAATACACCGTTATTTCTAGCGCCTCGAGCACTACCAATTGCCTTGCCCCTATCGCAAGGTCGTGCACGACAAATTTGGCATCGAAGAAGTCTTCATGTCCAGTATTCGTGCGGTGGACATCACTGACAATAAATCCCTCACTAACACCATCATCCCAACCTACACTGAAGCGGCGGAGGTTGTCGGAAAGATCATTCCCTCGTTGGATGACAGGTTCACGTGTGTCATCATTTTATTTCGATCTGTTGGTCTGGCCCTAAATGTCTTTGTAGTGGTCTTGAATTTCGTATTCCAGTTGTAAATGCGTCCGTCATTGACCTTGTCGTGAAGCTCAAAAAGCACCACAACCTACCATGCTATTACAACTGCCATGAAGAGAAGCTGAAGAGGGTCCGCTCAAGGGCATATTGTTGGTTCCTGATAATATTATGGTGTCTACAAACTTACTCGAGCGTACCGAGTCGACTATTTTCGACCCCGGGGTTCAATTCACGGTCTTTGACCGTTCCTTCAAGTTGGTCGCATACTATGGCCAATGATTGGGGGGTACTTGAAACGCGTTTGTGATTTGCTTGCGTATGTGGCCAAGAAGGATGCGGAAGGGTGAGTGCCATTGGAAAAGAAATGTGTGTTGCTCAAATATTTTTACTTGTAAGTGTATAGTACTATTAGTGTGAACACGTAGAATCGCTGTTATTAATATTGCCGCAAGGAGCCAGGACTTGCTTGCAAAGTTGAACACGGTTTGATAGAGTCATACGGTTGCATATTGGACATATCCTAACTACCCTAGAGTTGCTAATGACTACAGCAGAATTTCAGCATATATTGACCTATTGATCCGTCTCTTTCTGAATCTCTTCAGCCATCATGTTCGTCAGTATTCTAGCCAGTGCTCCCGCAATTTCGCTCGCCTTTTCCCTATCGCACTCCCGCAACTTGCGCACGATGTTCGAGTCAAACTTGTCGGGGGTGGAATCTAAGCATCTCTACCTTCAGTCGGTCCTTGCGCGACTTGGTCTCCATCCCTGGGCGGAGGGGGTGGAAGATGAATTCCTCCACGCTGCAGCGGGAGATATCATCGGGGGATGCACAGCCTTGCTGAAAGGTGGGCCACGGCATCTCGCAGAGCATGACTGAAGTCAACTTCTGGCTCAGTTTGAGCTCTTGCCACTTTGCGTCGTAGAGCTGGAAAAAAGCGACGAGATCCGCTTGAGCTTTGTTGCGACGAAGTTCTTCTTGGCGCTGCCTCTCTCGCCGTTGAGCTTCTTCACGAAGGCGCTGCTCTGCTTGCTCACGGGCCCGGCGTTCAGCTTCCTCCTGGGCTTTACGGAAAGCCTCTCGTTTGGCCTGGAGCTCGCGCTCGCGCTGCTCACGAAGACGCACCAGTTCCTCTGCACGACGCTTAGCTTCTTCCTGTCTGCGTCTGGCCTCCTCTTGTCGACGCTTCTCCTCCTCCTGCCGTTGGCGTTCTCCTGCAACGGTGGATTCCTCCTCTTCCTTCTGCCTCCGTGCGTTCTCCTCCAATCGGAGGGCAGCTTGGCGGTCGCGCTCCGCGTGCTCCAACTCACGTTGCGGACCCAACGCTTCAGCGCGTGCGACGAACCTCTCTAGCATCTCCAAGCGTGTGCCTGCGCCGCTGATCAAGGCGGAGCTCCTCAAGCTGCTTGAGGAAAATACGATCTTCGGCGGTCATACCACCAGCTTGCATAGTCTTGAGAGCGACATTTTCGAGGTTGTTGAGAGCCGCCACTGCTTTTTGGCGCCTGAGCTTTGCTGGGTTGCAGAACCGGGGGCCTTTGCGACGGAGTCCTGGACGAGTGACTGTAAGATGGTAAGTGAAGCGCTTGTGCCAGTGTTTGCGGCGCGGGTGGATCATTTGACTGGGGAAAGCCTTGGTGGGCGCGCTCTTCTTGAAGACCTTTGGAACAGTAGCCTTCTTGGGTGGACGACCTACACGGGCGGTATTGGCTGAGGCGGGCTGGAAGATGTGCGGAAGGCCCTGTGTAGGAGGTGCGTTGCAGTCAAAGAATGCAGGTGCATTTGGCTCGCGGGCAGGGCTACTCGAAGGGGAGTCGACGGACGGTGAAGGACGACGCGAAAAAATGGAATGAAGAAAGTAAGGCTTCTTCGAGGGGTTCAACATCCTGAATCCAGCAGGTGTTTGCGGGAAGAAGGGGATATGACGGTATGGCGACTTAGAGAACATATTTCTTGAAGGTGGTTGGGCGTGGACAAAGTATCTTGAGTGTTGTGTTGTGGTCTTGGAACATCACGCTCGCATGGGAGTGCGACCTTTAACGGCTTCAGCTGTGGACAGTCTGAGAGTGAAATTGTCCATAAGTCATGCTAAAGTTGTGTGGATCAATGGATTTCTTGAGGAGTTTCGGACTCCGCGACGAGGTAGTGGAGATGATAACATACTAAGTAATGTGGACGACCGATTTCGATTATCAATGGTAGCCAGAGGAAAAACTGACAAGTTACTTGTGGCCATGTAAGGTTCGCACCCCGTGGAAGCTCATTGGCATTTCCCTTCCTTGGTAACAGTGGGCATGCCACAGCTGGCCATGCCAGCCTCAGGCATCCGCGTCAGCAGTCAGTCTCGCGGTCAGCAACGTGCCGACATATGAAAGTTATTCACGACGTGTTAATGGTTCAAAGGCACATATACATGATGGGTTTGAAACCACTTTGTTGCAAAACCCGCTTGCGGACTCTGGTTGAGTCTCTGAAATAGTAGATCATTAGTCCACACAATCATGATAACGAAGTAGAGCTAATGAAACTTCCTTGAAGCAACTTGGTTGATCAGAGTCGATCAATCATTGGACTTGTCCACCGTGGTGAATAGTACAACGCCACAATTCACGTTTCGGGTTCCCACGCTAGTCTGCCACAAACCACTGAGTCACGTCGCTGGCAAATGCGCCTATCAGCGCTCAGGCTGTGGTCACGCCAGGTCCGCCCAACTAACTGAGTCACAGAACCCGCATGAGCCAGCATGTGGCCGCCCCTGGTCCGGACAACTGTCCTGAAATGGTAACTCGTGCGCAGCGAAGATAAAGAGTGGACAAAGCGGCCAGCCGTGGACAAAGCCCAAAAGACTTCTTTCACCCACACTCCCGCCAAAGCACCTGCAAGGAAACGTATTTGAGTGACTGAACGTGCTTTCCAGGTTTACCAACACCCTCTACTTCTACTGAACAATTTACTTCGCTCTCATTACCCTTACCCCTATCACACGTCGCGATACTCCACAATGCCATCTCGCATTCCCAATGTCACACGCCAGACCAAGGTTAGCAACGCCAACGGCTATTATCTCAGATGCCGCGATGTAGATGGCACGTCTGTTATGATCACTCAAACTGCCACTGGTCTTGGCGCTCATACGCGCTGGATCTACCCCGAGCAAGACACGAACAATAATGAAGAAACTGGCATGGATGTAGATGAGGAGGGGGACGCCACACCACCGCCGAGCACTATGACGTGCTTCCCTCAGACTCCTATGCCACAGCATGCGTTCGACGCGGGCTCTGTCCTTCGCACACCTGTAAAGAGGCCCCAGCCGCTTCAGCGCAGCCCCGAGCGCATTGGCTTCAAAGGGATCAACTTCTGGCACAAAAATTCACTTGGCACTCGCACTGTCGAGCAGACTAGCTCTGGTATTCGCGTGAGATATGTATTACAGAGGCCCGTCGGCTCCACCACGAACTTGACAAAGGAGGAAATTCTCGAGCACGAGTTCCAGAGGAACCACGAGACCTTTTTGACTCAGGTGGGAAAGTTACTCGGTCGCGAGGAGAAAGAACGGGTGGCGAGAGAGATGAACTCGATTTTACCGGTAGTGGATACGTCCGCTGGTGCGAGCACCGCAAGACATGTTCACTTTGCCTCGCCCGAGCCGTCTATCTTTATCGAAGAGGAAGAGGATGTATCAGAGTTTGGAGTTGGACCTACGGGTGAGAGATTGAATTCGCAAGGTCTCCCAATGCTCGGAGCACATGGGACTGTCATGATCGACCCCACGTTCAAGCCTCAAGTTCGACCGACCCTGCCTGCCCCGAAGGCCCCGCAGATACAAACTGAACCTGCGCACCAAGAGCGCACCAAGCACCTCGGCAGCATCACCGTCGAGGGGAAGGAATGGCAGGTCTACAAAACCTTGAGGCCTAGGAAGGATGGACAACCACGGATTATCATGTCGTCTCCTATGCAACCGAGGACGCGTAAGCCTCGGAAGAGCACGGGGTCATCGCATCTAACGAGGCAGCCTACCATTTTGATTGACGTTATCTAAGGGGAGTGTTGTCTGCTCGAAACCGGTAGCTTAGGAGGGCATGCCTCATCACGAACTCAAATCAGTAATATGGTCGTTATGCTCAATGTAATATTTATACATGCACTACTTACGCGCTCATCGCATATAAATTGTACAGCACTGGCTGGTACCTCTATGATTATCCCTCAAAATAGTATGTATTTTCGAATGGTATATTTTGAAGACTTATTGGAGTCAGCTTCGATGCCGTTGCCCTCGAGTGTGCATTCATCCGATTCCGCGCTCCTCAAGTGCATCGACGCCAATCAAAACCCAAGTTAACAACGATGAGTAATGTGAGCTGCGACTCTCTCGGATATTAACTCGACAAACCAAAGAGAAACAGGGCTGTTGCAGCCTGATCTTACGTTTTACATGCCCGAGCACGAGTCGTCGTGCCTTGGCTGTGTTTTTCAATCTATCCAACATCTCAGCTTAGCCCGGCGCCCGTGCATTTCACATTACGCTCGTGCAGTTGAAGGAAGGTTTTATGGATCACTGGCAGGATTGTTCGCCCCCCGGATTATCATATCAAGTGACATGTTGCTTTGCAATTATGAAGCTCAAATTAGAACTTGCGCAGTAGTGCTGTACTGCCTCATGCACTACGAGCCAAACGCTCGACAGCATTGATGCAGTGCCTGGTGATGGGGCATATGCATGGCCTCGATCGCCGAGTGCCCCCCCGAGCTGACCGCGAGTAGCCAAGAGGCAGCTGATTCAGAAGCACCGAAAATTCAAATCCTCTTGTTGAATTCTAGCTTCCCATTTGGTATAGTGTCAGCGCCCAAGTCAAACATTTCAGCCTCGTGGTGATGTTCTGGCCTAGTTTGGCCTAAAAGCCGCCCTGCCCTCAGACGGCTCTAACCTGAGCAGGGGCCCGAGTAGGGGAAATGTAATCAGTTGTATAATATCTTTGAGTTGGCCAAAAATTGAATATTGAATCTGTACGTGCCTTTTCGTGCTGCCCGTCATGATGTCATCACTGCCATATCGAAAACGGACGTTAGCGTTGAACGAACCAAAGTGCGAGACGGGTGAAAACTCGAAGCACAATGCGGCACGCGGCGCGTCAGTTTGCTACCCGATCCAGGTGAAGAAAGTACTAGATAGTGTGTTTCGGACTCGGAGGGGAGTGCAATTCACTTTCAGGTTATTTTCCACCAAATTGATCGTGATCGTGATGGGCGGAGTAAAGAGTTATGTAATCCATCAAAACACACTAGTGCAAGAGCGGTAGTATCGAACGGCGCTGGACGACGGAGTCTGCGCAGATACAGGCAGGAGGAGTAATAGTTTACCTGCATTCAATGTCTCTGTCTATTAAGCAGCGGACAGAGTTTTTTTTGCCTTGTCCTTGTTATGTAAGCAACGGAAGTCTCATAGAGCATTAAGGTTAGGGTTATTCTGGGTTATTCTATGCATTTCCTAACGACGACATCAATTAATGTTGCCTCGTCTGATCTCATCCGTCATCCTCATCAACAGCATTTTCCTCAGCGAGCAGTTCAACTTCGTCAACGCTCTCATCTTCTTCGGTCCTAAACTCCTGAGTTCTGCTAACAACACTATGAATCATCAATGGAATGGGAGAAACCAGCTATGTAATCTAATTAATAAAAAATATTCAATTGATGTAACATTGACTTGACACCTCTTGGCACTCATGACAGCTTTAATAGCTTGAATCGAGGATATTGATCATTGATGGTCGGAGTCTCGAGAAGGGAATTCAAAGCTTTGCTTATTTCCTCAGGCTGCGGAACGACATACGGCATCGTACTTGCCATTATCTCATATTCAGCGACGGCCTTCTCATGCCTTCCGAATTTGTGATTTAAAGAGTCCTGCTGAAAGTCGCTTGATGTTTTATTCTCTCGTCAAAGTCAATGACACTCCTTCCTGGCCTGTCTTTCGCAGTCATCTCAGGCCTCATTGGCCTCTCCGGCTCCACAGAGCTGCGGAGAGCTGACTATACTGCGACTTGCCAGGAGATCGCTGCTGCCGCGTCCTCTGCGTCCAAAGTGTATTACATCGGTGAGTGCATTCAATACCAATCACCGCAAGAGGGACTAAGCAATGCACAGGGTCACCCCAATACACCGAGGATAACGAGCATTGGGCTTCTTCTAGTTCTCAAACTTCTGCATGCTCCTTTGAGCCCGCGAACGCACAGGACGTCGGAATCGCTGTAAGTTTAATAGAATCTAATGTTTAATTCCGCTTGCTAACGAAGACTAGCTCCAATTATTGGCCAAGGACCAGACCCCATTTGCAGTGAGTCCATCAACTATTTAGCTTGCATTTTGATCGTCACACGCGGCTGTGTTCAAGGTCAAAAGCGGTGGTCATTCGGTGAATCCAGGGTTTTTCGTCAACCCCTGGAGTCCAAATTGCTTTGTTTTCATTTTCAGAAGTCGTATACGACCCGAATGCTCAGACAGCAACTATTGGCATGGGGTTAATTTGGGATGATGTCTATTCCGAACTCGAACAATATGGCGTGACCGTTGTAGGAGCGAAGACTACTGGTGTTGGGATCGGCGGCATCGTCCTTGGAGGAGGTAGGTTCACTTGCTCGTCGAAAAATATCGGTGATTGAACGTTTTATTTCTGACCAGGATATTCATATCTCAGCAATCAGTATGGTTTGTCGGTCGACAATGTCATATCGTTCGAGCTTGTGATGCCTAATGGCACGGTTGCGAGTATCACAAGTTCTTCGAATCCAGATTTATTCTATGGCCTTCGAGTAAGTGTCTTGACATGCAGACAGTCAGCATCTCATTTTCTTGATTTTTTTCAGGGAGGATTCAACAATTTGTGCGCGATGGTATTGCTTTACGGATACCAGTGCACGTGCTGATCTGCTGTAGGGAATTGTTACCACAGTGACTATGAAGACGTACGCCCAGTCTCAAGTCTGGGTACGTACCGTACTTCTGCATTGGTGCGATACTAATGGCAATTGATTACAGGGCGGCCTTATCTCGTACACGGCGGATCAATGGGATGCAGTCAATACGGCCATAGCTAATTTTGTGTCGACAGTCACCGATCCAAAAGCCTGTTTGTACAGCACAACTGACTATGCGTCTGGGGTGGTGCGTTACGATTGATTCACGTGAGGACCATATCCGAGTAACTGATTTCGGATAGGTAGCGATATTAACCATTCTGTTTTATGATGCGCCGACTTATCCTGATGGTATTTTCAACGAATTACTGGCAATCCCACACTCTGCTGAAGACATCTCGACGAGGGCATATTTGAGCCTCATTCAGACTTTACCTGCAAATGCCTCATCGGGCCTAAGGTACGTCAATGGTGTTCAGCAACTGGTTTGGTTGTCTCAGTTGGAGACAGGGCTATGTTCCACTGGGTGCCTATTGAGCAATTCACGTCGTCTATGCTACAAATGGTCCAGAACCAAACACTGGTGAGTCGCACTTTTCATCTGATCAGGGCACAACTCAGCAGAGCGTCCAGGTTTACGGCGAGCAGCTGTCGCAATCAAGCGGAGTTTTGATCTCATACGATCTCGTCCCTCTCCTTCCCTCACTCTACAGTCACTCCGACACGCCAGCTGCTTTCCCTTCTTTACGGGATTCAGGACAGGGGTACTCGTTCATTGAGGTGTATTATGGGTGGACTGATCCGAACGATGATGAGGTGATGCTCCAGGTTGGTGCAGAGAGCGCTGCCTACATGAAGCAGTTTGCCGTGGACGCTGGTCAGAACGTTGCGAATGCACTGATATACCCTAATTGTGCGCCTCCTGGCACAGCTTTGGCGGATATATATGGGGATGCTGTGTCGAGTCTGCATTCTATTAGGAGTGCCGTTGATCCAGGTAATGTGATGGGACTCACGGGAGGATGGAGATTCTAGCTGGACTATTGAATATCTGAGGAGCATTTCAATAATTATACAGTACTGGATGTTTAGGTCTTATGAGGGGATGGCGATAGTTATGGACTTGCATATCATATGTAAATGCTTTGATGGATGATGGATGCTGACAGGTTTCTCTATTGCAAGGTGTTGGAATGAGTTATCAGGAATTCCATCTAAAATCGAGACAGCTAGGATAGAACAGAGAATCATCTAATCAACGCACTGGGGTAGCATTGGCTTTGTCAGAAAGTAGCGCTGGCAGCGGGAAACCAGGATAAGCTCATACACGAAGAAATTGGGTTGTGTAACCGAAGTTCACGATCGTGGAGAGGGATTGAACCAAGTCTGCATGATCATGTGGGTGGTTGGTATGCTGAAGATTATTGTGAGCAATTCAACATGCGAACCCTGACTATGCTTCATTCCCGGGATCTGCGAGATACTAAGTACTAGACTAACTGCCCATCAATATTCAATCAGCGTCGATCGGACCCTATCGGACCTATGATTGTCTACTTGGCATCCAGTTTCTGCTTCTCCCTCTCAACACTGGCTTCTCTCCAGTTCCTGCCTTTGTACAACACCAGCAGAATCATGCACTGAACGACAACCATCAGACCTGCCCAGAGAGTATACAGACCACCGTCGCCAATTGTGTCCTAAACTAACCTCAGATCTGGCCTTCTGCGAACTGCTATGACCTTGACTCACTTGTAAAGGAACCGCAATCTCGGCGGCGACAAAAGCAAACAGACCACGGACAAAACTATTCGTTGCTACTGCCATGGATGAGCGACCAGTGTTTGCATCGACAAGGTACGCCAGTATGCTTGTGTAGGTCCATCTATCGTGAATGAGAGCAAAATACAATATAAAACGGAGTGAACATACACGGATAGAAATCCAGCGAGGAACAGCATCACACACACAGCGGCGATACTGACTCGTTCTTGGCACACCCAGGCGTATCCAATCACAGAAAGAGGTGACCATAACATGACGATTTTCGTGCTCTCGAGGCGCATCTGCATCGATTTGCATCAGCCACATGCTGAGCTAGGTTTAGTGGTTCAATGTTCACCTCTGGAAAGCTGACCCCTCCGTTTGCGGCCTTTAGCCGAGCAAGTGTCCGATCGGACCAGCGACCACCCAATATGCTGCCAGTTACGCTGCCTGGGATAAGTAGATGCATCAGGCAAGTGTTACCAATTTGCTTATAATTCACTCACCAACACCATAGGCAAGCAAAACAAGGCCAGTCTTCAATGCATCATAATCATAATACATCGACAATGTTCTTGCGCATGTATACGCAATACTAAAGCTAAACCCAAGTATTAAGCCTGGCGCAAGAGGGCATAAAAATAGGCTTCAGCAAGAAATGAGAGCACGCACCTGATGTTATCATGATAACAAGGTTGTTCTTGCGGCTGACGATCAAGAGGTATGCAGGGAAAGGGTTGATATCAGCCATAGACATTTTTATATCTTTAATGGCCGATGCTGGAATAACCATTCGCTGTGCTTCGATATCTTTTGAAGTCGTTTGATTTTCTCTGCCCACTTCTGACTTCGAAATATCTCGCGACTCGTCCTTCGCTTCCGACGACTGCTGCTCTTGGAGCCTCGAATTCAATGCGTTCTGGTAAGTCACACTCCTCTCCTTCCTGAAGGTGTCCTTGAACAAGAAAAGGAGTGCCAAAAATATTATGCCTCCCCAGATGGCCAAGAACCAGAAAATTGCCCGCCAGTTGAGGCCCTGTGTGAGTGCACCACCAAGTATTGGTCCTAATGAGGGACCGAGGAGAGGCGCAGAGTAGTAGACACCCATCATTGTACCTCGTTGATGTGGCTCGTATATATCGGCCAGAGTGGCAGTTCCGATAGCGAAAACTGCGCTTGACCTACTCCAAGTGAGCACGGTCACGAGGATCGAGGAACTGTCCTACCCTGCGCCTTGCACAATTCGCATCCCAATCACCAAACCAATAGTCCTTGACATGGCCACGATTGAAGATCCAATTATAAAAAGTGCAATGGATAGAAGGTACACAAGCTGGACTCAGTCAAATTAGTAAACGACACTCTAAAGGTAGCTATAAATACAAACCTTGCGGCCCTTTATCTCGCTAATCGCACTCCAAACGACAGGGAAAGTGCCTTGAGCGAGAATGAACAGTGACAAGCTCAGGCTAATATCTCCACTGCTGGCGTGTAGCTGTTGCTCGATTTGAGCATTGGCAGCTGTTTCCTGACTGTTCAACCGATATTGGATATAATAGTATCACGGACGCAACCTACGATTTTGTATGTTCGCCGCCAAACCCGCAAACATCGTGGCTCCAGATATAATGAACAATATAGTGGTCTGTAGTTGTGTTCAATCAACTCCTACTTACATAGTAAGCCAGAAGGACTTACCTTCTTCGTGTTTGACCATGTTCGAGGGTCGTCATCAACCACTGCATGTTCTATGTCAAGCTTAATGGGCTTATTTGACAATATTGAACTGGGCGAGTGCGTCTGGGTATTAGTATGAAATTTCACATTCCGGACCTCTATAGGTGACAAGTTCGTACTCTGGCTTTCTGCCATGGGCGTAAAATGTCCGATGCACAAGTTGAAGATTATACGACAGTGTATGATTTTATAGATAGTTCATGGATAACACGAGCGCCAGAAAGCGAACATTGTTTTGCCAGTGCCGATGATAAGCACATGCTGGATGGAAGGACTCCACTAACTATAGTGTGTCGGAAAATGTGGCCGGTGGGGTGGCATGACTATAGAAGCTCAACATGGGCGGCGGCCATTGTCTTCATTTCAGATGGCCGCTGACCGAGGAAGGCCCCCCCGAAGTCAAACGACCTGGTTAAGTTATTAAGATTTATATTTTGGATTGTCATCATCTAGAGCTTGTCTTACCATGGAATTTCGGATGCCCGGTGAGTGGGAGGTAGAGTCAATCTAATAATAGGAAGAGAACCGTGGCTTACGTAAATCGGAAGTTGTGCTGTTTCACATTCACACCTTCGTCTCTTGTCATCGTCGGCAACGGTGAGCACGCTGATGGCATCACCACCCAAACCCTGGGAGCGGGGAACAGCGACATCAGCCCCAGCAACCATCACCGCCGCAACATCTACTACGCCGAGCTTATCTTCTTCAGAACCACCTTCAGTACCTGCACGTCCCCCAGCTCTCTCCAACCCATCTGCATCTACCCTCGCGCCCTTCAGTTCTTTACAGCCATCATATAACACCCCATATTCTCCGTACTCTCGCCTTGGGTCCACGTACTCACCCTATGGCTCAAGTATGTACGGTGGCTATGGCGGAATGGGCAGCAGTTATGGCACTGGGTACGGCGGATATGGCATGAATAACATGAATAGCATGTACGGCGCCATGCCAGGAATGCCCGGAATGCCCGGAATGGGCATGTACCCTGGTATGGATCCCAACAATCCTTCCTTTTCGCAGACTCTCGAAGCCACGACCCAACACACCTTTTCCCTCCTCCATTCCATCGTCCAGACTTTCTCGGGCGTAGCACAAATGCTCGAGTCCACATTCATGGCGACGCACAGCTCATTTTTCGCAATGGTCGGCGTCGTCGAGCAATTCAGCCATCTTCGCAATGCCCTGGGCAGTGTATTAAGCCTCTTTGGTCTTTTACGGTGGATGAAGGAGCTCATTACGGGCCGCTCCAGCTCTACCGGCATCCAGGGTGAATTCAGAGAGTTCATCAGCGGCAAGCCCGTCCAGGGCCCAATGGGTCCTCCTCCTATCAAGCCTAGCCGAAAGCCTATTATAATATTTTTACTCGCTATTTTCGGCGTCCCATACGCCATGACGAAGCTCGTAAAAATCCTCAATGAGCGTGCGATGCAACAGCAACAAGCACAAATTGGTCCCGGTGGTTCACTAGGTCCCCTTGATCCGTCGACACTTACTTTTGCACGCGCGCTGTATACATTCACACCTTCATCTCCGTCTGAGCTTGCGCTCAAGGAGAATGAGATCGTCGCTATCATGGGAAAGCTGGATCCTAGCACCGGTGTGGAGGTAGATCCACGGTTAGAAGTGGAGAGCGAATGGTGGAAAGGTCGGACGCGCGAGGGTCGCGAAGGCTGGTTCCCGAAAAAATGGGTTGAGGTTCTCGAGCGGAGGAAGCCTGCGGAAGAGGACAAGAAAGCCGTTTGAGTGTCGGGTTCACTTTTCTTACACTATCTTACTTTTTTGATTTCGATCAACGCTTTTTGGTTGTTCTACATATAGAGACCCAAGATGTACTCATAGTATACTTCAAAGATATGCGGTTTCGTGACCATGGTACCTGAAGGAACGGGAGTACTGAGAACTTTGGATCCAGAGAAAAGACAGAAGCCGCCATGGTGACTGAACACAACAGTCTAGTTATCCATCTCATAAATGCCGCTGTTAACTAAATGATCGAAGTATGCGTATGTATCATATACGAATGTCGATATGGGAGGAGGGCATACATGGATCAAACAATCCCCCCGCCTGCAGTCTTTTGACGAAACTTCAATATGAGCTGCATAGATACGAAAAAAATGGTTCCGCAAGTCGTGATGCTCTAGATAGCCTGTCAACCAGAAAACAAAAACGCCGCTTCACGTGATCCACTCACCCCAGCTAAGACAGCAGGCCTCCACCAGATGTAATGCGAGGTCAAGACAGCTCCGCAAATCGGAGCACCTAAGCCGAAGGTAAGTGACGGTCGAGAAAAGCCAGCGGCACACATACCAAAAAGTGATCCAATGCCTGTGGACGCAGGTCAGGACGTGACCCGTCGGATTTAAATCCACGGACTTACCAGTCATCGCGAACGATATTCCAATTCGAACACTTGAACGACTTGTCAGCGTGAACCAATGTCATGCGTCGAGCAATTACCCAATATCTAAGTCTTCGGGGGTCAGATATGATATCAACGGGGCAATTAATGCTATGACTGAGTTGACACTTGGTGAGTGTTGGAGGTGTGTCAAGAGCCTACGCACAGCCTCCAGAAAAATATCCATAGCTCATACCTATCAGTGCCGCGCTGGTCACCGATCGCAAGCCAATCATTGAAAATACTATAGCGGATGATATGACCGAGCAGCCGACGACCGTATTCGGGATGCCCACGTAGGCGGAGACAACGCCAGCGGTAAGTCTTCCCATCAAAGAACCAGTATGGAAGATTGTGAGCTGTAAAGCTAGTACTGAGTAACTCCTTGTCAACTGGTCTCAGGGACGCGCACCGAATAAAACGTAAATACTTCGCTTAGACCGTGCAAACGAGAGTCTAGTTGGAGATAAAATAACATAAAAAACAACCCGACATCGAAAGCAGCCATCCTAAACAGTGGAAACTGTCTGAAGGTTCATGCCATCAAGTGTTGACTCACTCACCCTAAACACGCACAAACATAAGGACGATCTCTCCACGAGTTTTGTAAAACACGAGTGTAGCTAATGGCCTTGGGTTGCGGTGGAAGCCGTGTGTGCATCAGGAAATATGCTATGAGAAGCAGACCGCTAATCATGCCTGCACTAACACGGACACCATTTGCAAAGCCAAGTCCTCCATTGATGAGGTTGTTGAGCATAATCGGTTGCAAGATTGCACCTATCGACGGCCCTGTAATGACGAGTGCCATCACGAGAGTTCTACGTCGCTGGAAGTGATGAGATACCACGGCGACCGAGGGAACATTTGTAAGGCCTATTGCAACCCCGGAACCGATACCTTGAGAAAGGAAGATCTAACACTACTGTCAATTGAGTTATACAGTAACAAAAACCAGACTTGCTTGATAATACCCATTCGGCTTCGCTAGTGACAGCATAAAGAGGGAGAGACACTGGAGAAGACAGCCGACTTTCATCACGTGATAGCTGGATGTATGATCAGGGACACTTTTATGTGAACTGCCTGAATACATACAATATGCCCCGGTCAAGCAACCTTCCTGACACGAGACCGACTGAGAATATCAACAATGCATTAACAGCTCCTATCCAGCTATACCATTCTAAGTCAGAAACACGAAACAGGCCAAGTCTAAAGCTCACTGACGCGATTGCAGATGGTGTATAATCTGTCAGATAAGTTCGAGCATAAAAGTCTGTGTATCATGATGATCAACTCGTTCTGCAAAACAACCCAGCGGACATTACCTTGGAAGACGCCGTAGGAGGTGGTAAATCTGGAACGCGATTAGCGAAAATGGACCATAAATGCTGAATCGATTTTACCCAGCACCACAGAATTGTATCAAAAAACTTGTCGATGTTTTAATGATGAGTATGCAGCGATAGGTATTCAAACACTTACGCTCCTAGCGCTGTGCTCCAAGCTTTTACGCCACCCTCGGGAAAATCTGACGGGTCTAAGTGGTCGGCATCACCTGGATCGCCAGTAATTTTGACCCATTGCAAAGTGCTTTGGGAAGCCTGTGCTGTAGTTTCATTCCCAGTGGGGAGAGGTGTAGACATGGACGACAGAGATGAAGGTGGGGGATGGTATGCACACCCGGTACTGGAGCATCATGATTTATTTGAGAGGAGTCAGTGAAACCCTAAGGCAGCAACCCTTGAACCCGTACCCTCCAAACCCAGAGTCAGCATCATGGAGCCGCGGTGTTACCCGTAAGAATTGATTACCATCATGATCATTCCAGCTTCCGAGTGATGGGGAAGTACCATGCAGACGTGTCAGGTATCGTTGGAACCAGCTCCAAGTTCTTCGAAGGAGGACAATGTAAATAGGGAAGATCAAATATCCCGATCAGGTGCGACATTGTTACGGAACCCCGCGTTCACATGCGTTGGCAATGCGGGGTAGTCGCGTATATGACTCGGACTTCCGAAAGGATGGACGACGGCCTAGTGAGCACATTTTTTGGCATGTCTTCTAGCGATTGTCCCAGAGCCCAAGCTACGACCGGAACCATAGGTATGACATCATGTAGCTAACTAGCTCGGGACCGGGGATCCCTCGGTGCTACATACGATTCGGATAAGTGAAAAATGTTGAGTTGCGCAATCTGGCCAAATACACTTGCTTCGAATTCAACTTGATAACCAGACTTCCACACCACGATGGGAAAGTATCATATCACGAGGCCCTTTCACGTATCTGATCGAAGTATGCATATGTAGCATATACGGATCTCGATAGGGAAGGAGGGCATACGTGGATCAAACAGCCCCCCCGCCTGCAGTCTTTTGACGAAACTTCAATATGAACTGCATGGATACGAACAAAATGGTTCAGCAAGTCGCGATGCTCTAAATAGCTTGTCAGCCAGAAAACAAAAACGCCACTCCAAAAACGCCACTCCACATGATCCACTCACCCCAGCTAAGACAGCAGGCCTCCACCAGATGTAATGCGAGGTCAGGACAGCTCCACAAATCGGAGCGCCTAAGCCGAAGGTAAGTAACGGTCGAGAAAGGCCAGCGGCACACATGCCAAAGAGTGATCCAATGCCTGTGGACGCAGGTCAGGACGTGACCCGTCGGATTTAAATCCACGGACTTACCAGTCATCGTGAACGATATTCCAATTCGAACACTTGAACGACTTGTCAGCGTGAAAGCCATGCGTCGAGTAATTATCCAATATCTAAGTCTTCGGGGGTCAGATATGATATCAACGGAGCATTTAATGCTATGACTGAGTTGACACTTAGCACTTAGTGAGTGTTGGAAGTGTGTCAAGAGCCTACGCACAGCCTCCAAAAAAATAACCATAGCTAATACCTATCAGTGCCGCGCTGGTCACTGATCGCAAGCCGATCATTGAAAACACTACAGCAGATGATATGAACGAGCAGCCGGCGACCGTATTCGGGATGCCCACGTAGGCGGAGACAACGCCAGCGGTAAGTCTTCCCATCAAAGAACCAGTATTGAAGATTGTAAGCTGTGAAGCTAGTACTGAGTAACTCCTTGTCAACTGGTCTCAGGAACGCGCACCGAATAAAACGTAAATCCTTTGCTTAGACCGTGCAAACGGGAGTCCGCTTGGAGATAAAATAACATGAAAAATAATCCGACTTCGAAAGCAGCCATCCTAAGCAGTGGAAGCTGTCTGAAGGTTCATGCCATCAAGTGTTGGCCCACTCACCCTGAACACGCACAAACACAAGGACGATCTCTCCACGAGTTATGTAAAACACGAGTGTAGCTCATGACCTTGAGAAACGGTGGAAGCCTTGTGTGCATCAGGAGATATGCTATGAGGACCGTTAATCATGCTCGCACTAACACGGACACCATTTGCAAAGCCAAGTCTTCCATTGATAAGGTTGTTGAGCATAATCGGATGCAAGATTAAAGCCATCGACGGCCCTGTAATGACGAGTGCCATCACGAGAGCTCTACGTCGCTGGAAGCGATGAGATACCACGGCGAGCGAGGGAACATTCGTAAGGCTTATTGCAACCCCGGAACCGATACCTTGAGAAAGGAAGATCTAACATCACTGTCAATTGAGTTATACAGAAACTAGACTTGCTTGATAATACCCATTCGGTTTTGCTAGTAACAGCATAGAGAGGGAGAGACAATGGAGGAGACAGCCGATTTTCATCACGTGATAGCTAGATGTATGATCAGGCCCATCAGGGACACTTTTATGTGAACTGCCTGGTTCAACACACACGATGCGCCCCAGTCAAGCAACCTTCCTGACACGAGACCGACTGAGAATGTCAATAATGCATTAATACATTCATACCTCCTATCCAGCTATACCATTCTAAGTCAGAACCACAGTGACAAAACGGGCCAAGCTCACTGACGCGATTGCAGATGGTGTAGAATTTGTCAGATAAGTTCAAGCATAATAGTCTGTGTATCATGATGATCAGCTCGTTCTGTAAAACAATCACCGGACCTCACCATGGAAGACGCCATAGGAGCTGGAATATCTGGATCGCGATGAGCGAAAATGGACTATAAATGCTGAATCGATTTTACTCAGCACCACACTGGAATTGTATCAAAAAATTGACAATGTTTGATGATGAGTATGCAGCGATAGGTGTTCAAACACTTACGCTCCTAGCGCTGTGCCCCAAGCTGTTACGCCACCCCCGGGAAAATCTGACGGGTCCAAGTGGTCGGTATGACTGGGATTGCCAATGTTTTTGACGCGTCTCAAAGCGCTTTTGGAAGCTTGCGTTGCGGTTTCATTCCCAGTGGGGAGAGGTGTAGACATGGACGACAGAAATGAAGAAAGTGGGGGGTGGTATGTACACCCGGTACTGGGACATCACGATAGAACCGCGATGGCCGTGCAAATTGATCACCATCGTTCCAGCTTCCGAGTGATGGGGTAGTACCGTGCAGACGTGTCAAGTATCGTTGGGACCAGCTCCAAGTTCTTCGAAGGAGGACAATGTGAATGGGGAGGATCAAATAACCCGATCAGGCGCGACTTTGTAGCGGAACCCCGCGTTCACATGCGTTGACAATGCGGGGTAGTCGCGTATATGACTCGGACTTCCAGGATGTACGACAGCGGCACAGCCCAGTGAGCCATTTTTTGGTGTTTTGTGTGTCTTCTAGCGATTATCCCAGAGCCCAAGCCACAACCGGAGCCTATGATGCTATGTAGCTAACCAGCTAACTAGCTCGGGACCGGGGATCGCTCGGTGCACCTACATACGATAAGTGAAAAATGTTGAGTTACGCAAAAGTGCCTGATATTAGTACACGTGCTTCGAATTCAACCTTGATAACCAGACTTCCATACCACGTATCATAGCACGAGGCCCTTTCACGTATCCCCTCAACGTGTGTTAGAACACCTTGTTAACGTACCAGTGTGACTCCGTAGCTATGTAATGCATGCATGGTCTGTTACTAAACCCCGCGTCCCCTCGTTTCTTCCCCTCGACTCGCTCATTCACAGAAAACCGCAAGGACCAAAACGACGATGCAAATTGATAGACGACAGATACATAAAACTGGACAACGACCATTATTTCAACAGAACAAACTACTACGATAAAGCAAGGCCCAACCAGTAAGCCGCGAAAACAAAAAACAATATAGCAAAAAAAAAACTATGAAACAAGTGACCACAGCATTAGTGTAAAATAAGTCCGTCTTCGTCTTCCTGGTGATGAAATTACAAGTGTCTAGCTGAGCCTGAGCTTTGGCCTAGGCGCGAGGCCCAGTTCTCCATTTCCATCTTGGCCTTTGGCCATTGGGCCGTTCGAGCACTGGACGCACGGGTCGGTTCTATCTTGGTCTCGATCGCGGGTGCTGATTTTTTCTTTCCTTTCCCTTGCTCCCAGATACTCGTGGTTGGGTCGTTGGTGGGTTTTTTGTTGGAAGCGGCGGGGGTGCTTTTCACAGGAACATGAGCGTGTGCATGGGCATGAGTATGGACGTTCTCTTGCGGTTCTGGCGCCTCGAAGCCAGCGAGCTCGCCTCCGCTGATGGCGTATTGCATCCAAAGAGCGCTCTCCATGCCTTCGCCTGAATCTTCGTCGCCACTCTCTTCGGCGTCCATTGATGGCGTCCATAGCATGTGTGGAGCGGATTCGTCTGCGGCTTGTGAGATGGGCTGACCCTTGGCGAGGTTACTCCAGTAGGAAGATCCCCATCCGTCGCTTTCTGCTTCACCGGTGGTATCTGGTATGGCAGACGCGGGTCGGATCTGGTCCCATTCCTCCTCCCCTTCTTCCTCTTCCTCCTCCTCTTCCTCGTCCTCACTGACATCTTGGACCAAAACAGATTTCGAAGAGGATTGAGCACCGCGACGAGCCTCTGGCTGCGTCTCCAGCTGCGGCGGCGCCACCTTCTTCGCCTGCTTGCTCGACGACAACGCACCCTTGAGCCCAACACCCCAAGCCGTCTCAGCTTCTTCATCAGGCTCTTCAGTGACAGTGACCTTGGTTTTCTTGGTCGCCCATCCACCACTCGGCGCGGTCCACGTCTGGTAGGGGTCTTCCATGGATTCCACTGGTATAACCGGGGCTTGGGCTTTGCCTTTCTTCGCTGGCGCGGTCCACGTCTGGAAGGGGTCTTCCGTGGGTTCTGCAGGTATGATCGGGGCTTGGGCCTTGCCTTTCTTCGCTGGCGCGGTCCACGTCTGGAAGGGATCTTCCGTGGGTTCTGCTGGTATAGTCGCAGCTTGGGCTTTGCCTTTCTTCACCGGTGCAGTCCACGTCTGGAAAGGATCTTCCATAGGTTCTGTGGGTACCATCGGGGCCTTGCCTTTCTTCCCCGCTGCTGCCGAACCCCAACCGCTAGCGGAACCCCAGCTGGGAACGGAGATCACAGGAGGAGCAGGCTCGACAACCTCTTCAACGACTGCAGCCTTGCCCTTCTTAGCAGCCGGCACAGGCGCAGACGTAGTAGCTCGCGCAGTCTTAGAGTTCCACGCAGCGAACAAGGGATCAGCATCTTCATCCGGCTCCTCCTCGATCATGACAGACTTGGAAGACACCGAAGCCTTTGCGCTCTTCGCACCCCAAACTGGAGGAGGCTCCGCATCCGCATCGGGCTCTTGATTGAAAGTGACGGTTTTGGGCTGCTGGGTGACGCCTGGCGTCTTTTTCCCCTTCTTGCCCTTTGCGGTGGGAGGTGCGGGTGGTTCGAAAGGCTCGTCCTGCGAGCTTGAGCTTTCTGTCTTTTTGAGCGCGCTAGGTCGGCTGGATGCGATGGCAGAGACAGGTTGTTTGCCTTTCGCGAAGCTCGCAGCTTCAGCTTGATCCTTCAAGAAGGCAGCTTCGTCAAAGCCGGGGATGACATGTGCGCTGGCAGACTTCTTGAGTATGCTGGGAGGATCGGGCTTCGTGGGTAAGCTGCCCGTGGAGAGGTTCTCTTTTTGGCTGGCGAGTTTAGGAGCGTGAGTCGTCCATCCTGCCTGCGTGGCGGGAGGGATCTTCGAAGACGAGGCGCTCGCGTTGAAGCGGGTCTGATTGATCGCCTTCTGAGCGGCAGCCTGCTGCAGGATCCTATGCTCCTGCAACCTCCGATCGCGTTCCTGATCACATAGCTTCTTCCTCTCAAGCTCCTTAGACTCGCGAAGCGAGAGCATGTTCTCCTCGTGTTCATGCAATGTAAGCAGTCTGCTTTCTCTGGAGCAGGTGCTATTGTTGCTCTCGAGCAGCCTCGCGAGCTCGATCTCGATAGCAGATGCCTTTGCGTGAAATTGCTGGATCATCTCAATCCGCACATCCATCTTGAACTCGAGGAAATCGGCGGCCATTTTCGCTTTGAGAAGCTCTTCATCGATCGGTTCGGCTTCCTCTTCGGCGATAACAGGCCCGATGTAGCGTTTGCCTGGGAGAAGAGTGTGGGTGGCAGATAGGGGGGATATTTTGGTTGTGGGCTGAGGGGGGGAGTGGGAGGAGAAGAGGGGAGGAGATGCGGATGAAGCTGCGGATGCTTGCCGGGAGATGTTATCCGTTGCGCGATTTCTGTTGGTGGATTGGGATTGGGAGGCGCTTGGGGGACTGCTAAGCCAGCTTCGGAAGCCCAGCCTTGGAAGCCGAAGACTGCGCTGCTTTGGCTGTGGTCAGCTGGTGCGCGACCTGTGTTTAGGTTGTTGAGTGTTGCCAAGTTGTCCTGGGCAGTGACATGTCAGGGTGACACGTCATGATAACAAATCCGAGACATACCATGGCAAGCTCCGGCAGTTTTCTGGCTTGCTTTGCGGGGGAAATCGTGTCTGTGAAGAAGGAAGAGGGGTTGACGAGCTGGAAATTGGCTGTAATGGGCGTTGGTGGCGATTGACGGGTTGTGAAGAAAGGAGAAGAATCCCCGAGTTGGGGTTCTTCAGCCGCCAACGCCACCGACTCGTCTATTTCATTGGAGTCAAAGGGGGTGGAGCCCTCGTCTTCTTCGTTATCTTCATAAAAAGCATTGAAGACGTTGATGACAGATTGCTGTTCTTCCTGTGTGATATCTGTCCAATCGTCTACTCGGAGCTGCACAGCAGCGAGACGACTGTTCCACTCTTCATGAGCGGGTTCAGCAAGACGGGTTGTGATCTCGGAGAGTCTTTTCTCCATCTCTACGTGGCGAGGGTTTTGTTGAATTCTAGAGGATGATTTCTTGTATTTCGCGTCGAGCTCTTTGGTGAGTTGGTCTACGAGTTTTTTCTTCTCCGGCTCGTACCACGTTGAGATAAAATTTAGCCATTCCTTGCGGACTTTGGCTGAGGGGGTCTCGACGGGTGGAGGCGGCGGAGGGGGTTGGGGAGGGGGCGCAGCTTGTTTGACAGCTGGAGTTGCTGTAGGTTTAGGTTGAGCAGGGGGAGCTGCTGGCTTTGCAGGCGCCGGAGCGCTCTTTGCTGCTGTTCGTCGTTTTGGAGGCATTGATAGAGTAGACGAAAGATGAATGATGATTTTTTATGTTTAGGTAGGAGAAGTATATGGTTCGATTAGTGACTCGTGCGGCATGGAGCGCTGAGGGATGGCAATTCCCAAATTTCCTGAAAAAGACGATATCGGGTTTAGGATTGGTCCATGATAGGAATATAGAAAGCAGAAGATCAGGGAAGATACGGCTATCCGGAAATTTAAGGGATTAGCTGCGGTAGATATGCATGTGGTTTCTGGGATGGTTAGTTTGTGTATAATGAACTGGATTATTGATGGACTTACGATTGGCGATGTTTGGTATATAATTTTTTAGAAGACAAAGGAGAGTGAGAAGAGGAACGATCGCCTCGTGTTTACCTCGAGGCGGTCTCATTTAGATCAACTAATCTCGTAATCAGGTGATCTCTAACGCCGAGCACAACGAAGCTAGTCACCGCAGTTGCCCTACTACACCCATTAGTGGCGGCCTAGTTTAAAACATTACTAGCAGTACTGCTATCTACCCTGATCACTATGGCCTCCGATTTACAACTACCCTGAGGTATTAACAGAAGTCATTCAAAGGAGGAAACTAGTCAGATTTCGCTCCCATCATTGAGAGTAATCCCACCATTTCGGAATCTACTTACTAACCGCGACCCTCCTGAATCGTGTTAGCTTGCAAGTTGCAATCCGCTGTCACGGGGATATTTAGTAATTCACTTGCCCTTTCTCGTATTCTTTACCCGCTGGATGAGCGTCAATCACTCTGTGACTCGTTGACTCGTTGGCACAAAAAAGAAATTAGAGCCTTGTCCTCGGAACAACCTCGCAAGTCACAGGTAAACACGATTTTTTTACGTTCTTCTTCAACCATCACTCGCCTGGGCATACATTGTACAAGTGAATAGGAGACCATATCCTTTGCTTGTTATTCACTTTTCCAACGTATCCCCTCAAGCGATGACTCACTTCGGTGACCTCCCCGCCAGCCTCATTTTCACGCAAGAACATCACTTTTACATCATCCCGACCTTCAAGTGTGTTGACAACAGTGCATACAATCGCTATCAATGCTCACCTTGTTCTTTTTGTGAGTCTAAGCTTCGCGGGAGTTTATCAGACTTCGATGTAAGAAGTGCCGAGAGAAAAAAAGATGCAACGATAATAAGCGTGTGGGGTGCCTTGGATACTGCTACTAATTGTGGTCACTTCATCGAGCTCGACTCGGACTCTTCTACTGCTAGCCTAGTGCTGCACTCTGCAGTTTCGACATCATCGGCTTACCCGTTCCTAACCCCAGTTTCTACGTTCTACATACTCACGGGGTAAGCAAGTTACCTTTCGTTTTCAGATCAAACGATCTAAACGTACATATTCTTATAATCGCAATCAGTTCAACCTTCATGTCTGGTAATCACTGATCATCATCTGCACTCATCAACCTTGTACTACCCTTCTTTTCCATCTATCAGCCTCATCGTGAATGCTCCTGGTCCTCTACCGGCTGCGTAAGTCCGTCCGCCTATATTATATCCAGACTTCCCCAACGCGTGTCTTAACACGAGGCACAAATCACATCACAGGCTCGTCGCAATCACACTTAGCCGTCTTCTAACAGAGTGTTCGAGGTCATCCCTACCCCACCTCATTTCCAACTCCATTTCACTATTCCCCCCAAACGGCCAAAGTTCACTTTCCTCGAGTGCGTAGTCAAAGCTATCCTATCCTATCATACTTCGCTGATCTATCTCTATCTTTATAGTTCTGCCCTGACACGTCATGACGACCTTGTTTCAATCTACAACTGAATCCCCTACCAATCCATCAGCCGCTGATTTCGAGCCTGACGAACAATGGAAGAGTCGCCTCAAAGTCAATATCGAGAACAACTTGCGTTCAATGGTCGACGAAGCTAAACAGAACTTACACGACACCCTCAAGAGAGCCCCAGTCAGCGCTCTCGAACGCGAACGCTTGACCGAGGAACACCTCGCTACCATGAAGAACATCCGTAATCTTGCCGAGGAACAATTCCGCATCGCCCTCGAACGTGAACGCCAAGAACGCCGCTGGGCCGCTGGTCAAGTCTTAGATCAGGGATGGTCAGACGAAATGGCAAAGGAACAACAAGCCATCTTGGACAAGATTGAAAGAGAACGCAAAGATAAAGATAAAGCTGCTGTTCATTCTTCATCTTCATCTCAGCCTATCGCAGATCTTTCAATATCCCGTTCTAGCCGCAGTCGTTCTCCAGAACGTATTTGGACCCCGCAAGAACGTACGGAACTCGAGCACGAGGCAGATTACTTCCACAGTCGGGAGTTTGAGGAAGACCACGTACCACCACCTCGCGATACCGGCAAGGCTCGTGCCGTGTCTGTTAGTAGCAGTAGTCGGATCATACAGGCCCCCCACCACGTTGGATACAACAGACAGAAGTTTTGAGCGCCCAAAGCTTTCTCCTACCATCGACGAACTAGACGACATGCCTAGATCTGCTCGTTCACCTACCGATGCTCAGGACAGCATCAGACGCGGAAGCCTTCGTCGCAAAGCTAGCATTTCTACTAGACAAATTCCCGGAATTCTGGGTTCCTTCTATCACGCCTGAACAGGATGCTCAGATGTCTCGTACGTACAGTCTTGCGCGTCGTGGGAGCACCGCGAGCACCTCTTCCTATCGGGCACCATCTGTGCTCAACATCCCGTTTTCATCCGAACCGCACGACATGATACCCAGTGCGATAGAGAGCAATAGAGAACGTATGTCGGAAAGGGATAGAGAGCGTATATCATCTATGGATCTGGAATGGATCCCTATGGATAGAGCGAAAGATAGAGAGCGAACGACATCGTACACTTATGCTGAAGCTCGAGCTGGCATCACAACTACTCCTCAGAGGCTAGACGACCGTTATCCACCGCCCTTATCCTCAGTCGCACCCATCTTAAGCTCCGCAATCCCGTATTCTCGCTCCATAGAGAGCCCAAGCTCCACAGTCCCCATCACATACACCCGCCCTGCAGACAGCCCAAGTTCCATTGCATACACCCGCCCTTCAGACAGCCCAAGTTCCACCGTATACACCCGCTCAGACAACACCCGTCCCCCACCCTCAGCCAGCAGACCCATCGCAACAAAGAAATCCCTCACGTTTGATGACGGCGGGTTCCAGTCCAGCCCAAGTCCCAAAGGCTGGACCGGCCCCTCCCGCTCGCCCTACGACACCCGCTACGAAACCTCACGCTCTCCCCCAAACCCCAGAAGAAATCCCACGGAGTTGGCAATCTTCCAACTTGGGTTTGCGCGCGAGGGTGTCGTCTCAGGATATGCGCTATGGGTATAATAATGCGGGCGAGAGTGGGTATTATTCTGCGAGGCCTGTTCATACGCATCATGAGGTGGAGTATGAGCATGATGTCGATCTTGATGTTGATTGGCGGGAGTATGATGAGCGTCATATGCGGCAGAGGGAGGATAGCGTTAGTTTGAGGAGGAGGGAGGAGGAGGTTGCTCGGCGTGAGCAGGAGCTGAGGAGGAGGGAGGAGGATGCGAGACGGGAGGAGGAGGCTAAGCTGAAGGAGGAGGAGCTTAAGCGCAAGGAGGAGGAAACTAAACGCAAGGAGGAAGAAACTACACGCAAGGAGGAGGAAACTAGGCGGAGGGAGGATGAAATCAGACGCAAGGAGGTGGAAGCTAGGCGGAGGCAGGAAGAGGCCGATCGCAAAGAGCTCGAGGTCCGGAGAATGGAGGAGGAAGCGAGGAGGAAGGAAGAGGAAACCAAACGAAAGGAAGACGAAATCCAGCGGAAGGAGATGCTTGCGAGGAAGAAAGAGGAGGAAGTCAGGAGACAAGAAGCTCCAGGCCAGGAAACGGGCGGACGACCTCCGAAGACAGGAAGAGGAAGTGGCCAGGCGGTTAGAAGAAGAAGAGCAACGTGTCGCGCTAGAGATTTCGCGCAAGTCTATGGAGGCGAAACGCAAGGAAGATGAAGTTAGACGCAAGGAGGAGGACTGCTAGGCTCAAAGAAGAGGCGGCACGCGCCAAAGAGGAAGAGATCCAGAGGAAGGAAGAAGAACTCTTTGCGACGGGAGGAGGAGTTGCTTCGCCGGGAGGCAGAGGCGATCCGCAGATCAGACGACAAGCAGAAGGTTCAGCAGGATGAATTTCGGAAGCGCGAAGAAGAGATACGCCGCCAGCGCGCAGAAGAAAAGAAGAAACAGGAAAAGTACGAAGTGGGAGTCCTGGGGTTATTATCCTCCGGAGACTAGTCGACCCACGCCACCTCCCCAGATGGCTCCTTCTCAATCTCAATCTTCTTCGTCTTCTACAGGACCTTGGCCAATCCCCAATCGTAGTGACCGTAGCATGCCTGGACCAAGTCCGCCCACAGATAGGAGCAGCTTCGGATCGACCAGCACTAGCCGTAGCAGTGCTGGCTGGACTTCCTCGACTCGGCCGAGCTCGACCGCCAGTTCGCACCCACCGAGCACACCTAAGCCACCAACGCCATCAGCCCAGCAGAACGCCAAAGCAGCACCCGGTCCTCCACCTACCCCCCTTTCAGAAGCAGAGTTCCACCGTCGTCAGGCTGAACAAGCTCAGCAGCGCGAGGAACAATTCCGTCGTGAGCAAGCCAGGTTAGAGCAGGAAAGACTCTTGAAGGCCGGAAAGGCCTTGGGAAAGCAAGACACCATCAAGCTCTTTGAGTACCATCGTGGTCAGTGGGATAAATTGCAGATATCTGGTGCTGTGTTGGGCGTTTTGATATGGGACGATTTTCCGTGGCCTGTGTTCAAACGGCCAGGCGGCCCCGATGATGTGACGGCACCTTGCATCACGGCCTACATGTTATCGTCTCTGCATCCTACCGACAAGTCTCCGAAGGACCGCATTAAGGAGAACATCAGACGATGGCATCCTGATCGGTTCGAGACGCAGCTATTGCCGAAAGTCAAGGAGAGCGATAGAGACATCGTGCGAGAAGCTGCTGGTACAGTTGTCAGGGTGCTCAACGACCTTTTACGCTCCAGCACGCAAGAACTTTCTTGAGATGTACACGGAGTGAGCACGCACCTTTCTGTTTGCATGACTTGCGGGAGTGCTGACTTGGTGTTTTGATGCAGCTCTTTCACATGTATGATACCCGCTCAATCATTTGTATGCTGCACACGGATTTACATGGTTTATGACATTGTGTATGAGAATTTGAATATTCATGTTGTTTTTTTATCGATGGGTTTTGCTGGTGTCGATCTTTGCGTGCACGATGATATGTTGAAAATGAGCAAAAATCGGGAACTCTCATCTTGATCATGGCGCAGGTCAAGTAACGCATGGTGAGCTGGTGGATCCGGGAGATTGTCAAGTCACAAGCAAGTGTATCGATATCGAGTCGCGGTTGCTGCAATGCGGCCGCCTATGACTCAGTCGCAGAGGCGCCACATAGCGCCACTTGACATGTTCAAATGATTTCAAGAGATAAGGCTCAAGGTACGCATCATATGATGTGGGTTCTGTAAACCTATGTGGTTGACGACGTTGATCTTTGGCCATGTTTTTTTCAACTTGAGCCAAAATTCCGAGGATGTCATTGGTCGATGGAAAAAATTATATGCCGGTGCAACGCCGGCCCGGGTGACCAATCGCTGCGTAGGGAAGCATTCAGTGGGAGCTTCTAACAATTGCTGGTTAGTCCTGGACTCACTAGTGGTATATTGCACCAAGTTGGCTAGAGTTGACTATGGTAAGTCCTAGTACCTTGAACGAAATCCGAAGTTCCGGTTATCTCAAACGGTTATCACCTAGATCCGAGAAGATATGTTTGTGACATGAATAGGTCGTCCCGCGTGCCCCGTGGGGAACCCACGATGAACAACGATGGCAACGTGGCAGTTCACTTACTGGAATCACATCCTATGGTTCCTATCACATCTCGATTTGCATTACTGCCACGAGACGCCACGGTGGCTTCTAAGCGCCAGAGCGACCATAGAGTCCACAGGAGTCCATACGCCTCATATATTTCCCGGACTTCCTCCATTTCGACATCTCAAGGGACTCGGGTCCACACTCCCGGAGGGCTTCGGTTCACGTGGAGGTGCTCTGAGATCTGAAGGGTCTTGTATTCAAACTTATGGTTTTGTCTTGAACCTTCCTGATAGCATGAAGAGATTTTTTCGATCCTTGGAGAGATCATAGCAGCTTGGTATGTGAGACCGTTCTTCCCGGTATATCATTTGAAATCTTGTTATTATTGTCGTTTTATCTAATCGGCCTCCCTAGGCGCGGCTATTGTATACTGATTTTCAATCGAACCAAGACACACTCTCGTCGGTATTCTGCTTGCAACGCCGCTTCTTGGTCGGGCCCTGTTCAGTATCCATTAGTATCATGTCGAGATCATTGAGGCTATGCGAATGATGGACCCAGGGCAGCCTAGGTGCTGCAGAAGAACTTACTTTGCAAATACTGAGAGAATGATGGGCGTGATTCTTTTTCGGAGAAGGTATTATTCTGGGAATGTCACCCTTGTGGGGCGCATGTCATGCAGAACGCGTAAGGTTAGTCAACGATGGCATCTTCGCCTAGATGCGCTATAGATGGATCACGACGACGGTGAGTTGGTAGCTTTTCCCTGACAACTGGAGGATAAGAGAACAAGGACCCCTAGAAGACCCCACTACCAATCATGATAGGGTCATCTATACACAAGTCGAGTTGGATACTTGTTGCAGAACTCGATCTGGCAATATTGCTTGACCATGGCAAGATCAAGGTTTCGATTCTTAGGTTCGGTATACGTAGGGTTGTCCCTTGCAGTGAGATAAGTATCACGAAAAGCTTTCATGACATAACGCCATGTCAATGTACATAGATCGGTGCCGGCAATGATGAACGCATAACCGCGAGCCTATCTGAGAAAACACCGTAAAGTCACAAGGAAGCGAAGAGCAATAATATTCCTATCAACCACGATTTAATCGTGCGAGTGCGCCTATGCCGAACATAATTAATTGTGTCGACGTCCCCGATCTGAAGAAGCTGAAGGATACGTGAGGCTGACGGCCGTTCTGAGGAGCGAAAGGGAAAAATACCCCGTCTCGTCTTTTTGTCTATACTAATAGCGGCCGCCCGCCCGATGCAGTGAAGTACAGAGCTTGTTGGATTATGCAAAATCATTACGCGGGCAAGCGCAATAAAGTCTTGTCAGTAACAGTGAACGTCGAACGCTCACGATCATGTTCAATTATTCGTTGAATCACACGAAATAGACACTTCGTGAGGAAGTGTCGTCACCAAACAAGTGAGACCGTTGATTATGTTACTGAATGTCCACGCTGAACATTTCATGAAATAGTTATATAGACGAGCGTTAACAGATGTTGTATGTTGTACCGACTCGGTCACCCTGACACTCCAGGAATTGGGTGTTCAATGAGCCATGTCGGTTGTCGATATACCGAATGAGCGACTAGCATTCCATGATGACATCCCTCGGCTCAAGGTGCACCGCCGAGGAGCAGTTTATAGTTTAGCAGTTGCTTAAGGAAAGGTGCGTTTCCTCACTCTAGATGTCACTCCAATTAGTAGACAGTGCTGAAGTTGAGAAGCAATCATGGACATCACCGTTATTACGCGTTACAAGGAATTGCCATTGACTATGAAGTTGAGAAGCAAGCATGGACATCGCCGTTCATGCTATGCGTTAGGAGGAATTGTCATCAGATTAGCTTTCAGTCCGTGCAAGGTTTGCTTCGACACTATGTAAAGGGATGACCTCTCGTGGCATCGTGAAACTGGGAAAAACCGAAACGTTTACATACTGCAATTAATAACAATACGGTCAGTGAAACGATGTGGGGATGAAACCCTTGGGTGAGCTCACCTTGAATCAGTAAACGTTTAGGCCCGGAAGCTTTGTCGCTCTATTGGATTGGAAGAATTAAACACAGCCAGATGGGTAGTCAGTCCCTGAGTTGTGCGATCATGATGGAGTTAACAGAGTAGGAACGACTATATGGAAAGCGCTGGAGCCTGGAATTTAAAACGTGTTTTAGAATTTTGTGAGCGACGTCAGTGAAAGTTCAGTCTAGCATTTAATAATCGAACACGCGTTTTCACATAGCAGTGGGTCTCTCAAGGGACAAAAGATCGTGTGATAGCAATCGCCGTCCCGACTAAGATCATGATAACCTGCGAAGCTGCAACTTTAGGATTCTATACAGAGTACTAGGAAAAGAAAATCACGATAATAGCGCACCTAGTCCTGAAACACATGCTTGCCCAAGCTTGATTTTATGTCAATTGTGACTACATAGCAGGGTTTGACAGGGCGCATCGCCCCTTCGATGGACTGGGAAGACTCCTGCTATTACTAATCAACCCGGAGATGATTAGCCTATTACGTATATCATAGCGTAGATGGCCAAATACATGTCATCATCAGCATAACTTCATCCCGCGGTCCCCGCCACGGCCGCAACGTTGTGCCCAAGCTCACGATAAAGCTCTTGATATGTAGACATTCTAGCCTGTCCGTATCGACTCACAGAACCAATGTGATGCCGCCCAAATAAAACCCCGCCATGACCAACATCTAACTTGACAACGCCGAGCAGCCCATATTGCGAATTCTGAATCAGAACATAATAGTTGTGCTATGTATACAATCACTGTTCGGAGCGCCGTCAGATAAGTCCCAACTCTTGGTAATGTTCGTGATTTCATTGAAAACCTAGTGTATTAGTTCATGCGATGATAGTACTTAGATAAACTCACGCATCGGGGTTCACGCCAGGTGCACAAACCTAACACAGATCAAACAGTGACTTCTTGAACCTTGTCATTTGATGTCGACCGTACTGTCAAATTGGTTTTGGTCGAGTGGAACTAAGGCGAGGATCAGTAGAAACAGTAGACAGGTAAGAAAGAAGGGGATGTCGGTCTTCTTCGTGTGGACAACCTAGCTAGGAGACTAGGTTCCCTCCGGGACATACAAGGTTTGTGAGCACACTGTATTGCCCTGATGAGATTGCGAACGTGCCCGTCGCGAAGCCCTGATGGACAGCATATTGATGAGATAGCGAAACTGTGCCCGTCGCGAAGCTCTGATGGACAGAAATGGGGTTGGAAGTGCAAATCTAGTATCCTTCAGTAAAACTTTTGTGTTCAGCGTTGCTTCAAGTTACTGGTCTCATCATCTGATTTAGCTTTAGTGGGAAATTCGTATGATGACGTACCGAGGACCATCCAATTCGCGGCAAGGTCGGTGTTGGCTTCGATGCGCTCCTTCTCTATGTGACCTGCCGGTCGCTCTTTTCGGACTGACACATCGTGTGGAGGCCGACTCCGAGGGAAGTGTAATGGACTCGTCAGAGATAGTAGCTGTCGCAACGTTGGAACCCTCAGTTGTAGTGTAGAATTCAACTTCTCCGCGAGGCACTGTTTGGCGATCTAGGTTCTGCGCCATCTGCAACCAGGCCCATCAGTCCCAACTCTTTCTTAAATCTCAAGCGAATTTCAACAACCCGTTTCCTTCTCGGGTAGAAGCCACAGAAAGAAAATTTCCGTCGAGGACTGCGTTACTTCGGTGTCCTTATCCCCGAGTAGAGTAATCAACAAGGTATACTGCGGCTGGTAATACTTGGTATCGGTGCCTCAGCTAACTTTTCTGTGTTTATGATGTGATTAGTACTTACGTCTAGAAGTTCCGCGGCGGGTCGCGTCCAACTCCAGAGTCCAAAGTAGTGCGTGTCAGAGGGAGCTCTGAGTCTGCATTGGTAGAACATTTCATGCCTAGTTACCGTGGGTAATGTTTGTGATTACAGCACTTACACTTCAACATCCCGCGACTATCGCAATACCAATAAGCGAGAGCTTTAGCGTGGCGAGCGCAGCAGACCTTGTTAATTTCCTGGATAAACGGCTTACATGTTGCCCCGAACCAGCCTCAGGTCCGCGGTATGTTCGGACGCTTCATGGACCACGCGATTTATCCCGGGCGGTGGATGACACCACCCGAAATCGAAGAGTGCCGATGTTCTACCTTCTCCTCATGTCTCCAGCATACCCGAATTACAGTTCAAAGAGTTCTAGCAGATCGCCGACAACGTCACAATGTTCCGGCTGACGCAACGTGCATTGCAGCCGCGTCCGTCTAGCGTGTGAGCTTATCATTATGCTGGGGAATGAATCGATACATTGTAATCACGTAGTGCCAATGTGCCATCCGTCTAGTCAACATGCATATAGATAGTGAAAGAGCAGAGCAGAAGACCTTGAAATGTCAATCATCCCGATGGTGGGGCCGAAATGAAACTTGAGTAACGGCGAGCAACAGTTATACCTAATTCTGTCCTAGCCCGAGGAAGAGTGGTTGGACGACCACAGAGTGACGGCTTTGATACTAAACTTAGTACCAACCAACCACTATTGTGAAGAGCTGCGTATCTTGGTCGAATGCCCAAGCCGGGATTTTACTGGACTTGGAAAAAAAATCGCATCCCTACCGAGTTCGGAGCATACTTGGTCGCGATAGCTGTGCTCTTTGCATAATGATACTTCATGTCCTGGCCAAGCGTTGTTAAAAGCACCGTCGGGCATCACATGGTCCTGATAATAAAACACTTGTCAGGGTAGTTAATTACATTGTAGATATGCTTACTTTGACCGTTCGTGGCAAGCAAGAATGGAAAATGACGAACTGATCAGCAACACGCTTGAGAGCAATCCTGAGTGAGTACTTTATGGTGATAGACTGACGGCATGACTCAACTTGAGCGGACCTTTTGTATGTTCCAATCGACACCTTAAAAATGTCACTGGAATGGACGGAGCCTCGCTTGTGGAAGGGCAAATTTGTTCTGCTTAATTAAAGCTGCTGTATTCTGAATTCTAGATCAAAATGCAACAACCTGTTGTTCATAATAATTGGCTGTTTAAAGTGCAATGAATACACGACCACCAAGCAGTTCAACGGACTGTAATGAACATATCATTTTGAAACTCATTCAACTTGAAGCATGAAACGGCGATCACGAGATGCCTATCTCACTGGTAGCGTGAAACGGGGGACTAGGGAGATATATGATCGTGGACCATCAATGTTAACGTATGTTTTCCGCTAAAATCACCACATGCTCGCGCGGACCCGACCGAACGGCATCTATAGGCGAAAGCGGCTGCTTTACGTGAATTTACGCCTAACGGCCTGAAGCTGTCATTGGTGGAGGCAATGTTGCCAATCAAGTTTTAGGTGTAGGACCCCACAATCGCTGTGGGGACAGATTACAATGCAACTTACAAGGGGCCGTGAGCTTAAAAACTTTCGAGGTGCAAATAATGATGGAGACGGGTCGTAAGTATAACACAGAAGTCACCGCTGTTTGTGAGGCCGAAACTATAGCTAGTCAGGGCGGGTCAGGGCGGGTGTTGATTTGCCCACTGCAGAATTTTGCAGAATGTGACCGCGTGTGCATTAGAAGGCTAAGAAGGTCGAAGACCAAAGAAACAGACTTGAGGCACACGACGACCTGAAAGCTGCTTTAAACGATTGAGGACACTCTGACATTGCACTGAAACCCCGAGGCATATATAAAGCCGTGTGACGTTGAATAAATTGTAGTGTAGACTGTTGCCATTTGGCATTGTCGCATCAATTAAAATTGTTGCTTATCGCACCCGACAGCGCTTGACAAGCGCTTGTTGGAGGTCCGCGACCTACCTGCCATAAGATTCAATCTGGCATGGTGATATCCTCGGTAAACGAAAATTCTGCCTTAGCTTGTTTTTCGTGGCAGGTTCTGTCGACTGTGACATGCCCTCGACGAGGAAAGAAGTCGGATGGTCAGAGGAATGCGACACGTTGCCTTGCGTCGTGTGGGCTAAAGACCTTCTCTTCCAGGGTTGGTGCAGGGGCGCACAATGGATGATCCCACTGCGCCCAACCAGAGACAGAAATTGAATAGATTTGGGGTTCCGCTTATGTTAGCGACGGAACCCACGAACGGTAACGAAGACCAGTCGGAAGCTGAGAATCCAAAAAAGGAAAGTCTAGAAGCCAAAATAATATTAATATTCAGTACCCGTTACAGATCTGAAGAGATCGGAAGGCCAATCTTAGCTAACTCACGTTTTTTTGGAACGAAACTTTTATGTGATTTTCCTAACGAAAAGTTTGCCCTGCAAGTTGCCGCACTTGTAATAAAATGGACCGACCTGGTTCTCCTTTTTTCATTTTCGTCCCCAGTCATGATGGCTGCCAGCATGTCTGAAGACGACATTGCTTACACTGCTCTCCTCCGCCAGCTACTATCTGACAACTCAACCACACGCAATGCCCGTGTGCACTCTTGGATAGAGCACCAGTATGATTTTGCCCTCTCAGAGTCAGACACCCGAGTCAACGAAGATGATCTCGGCTGTTCCCGGGCTCCTTCACCTTCGCCGTCCTCCTCATTGGGAGCACACCGTACATTCTGTTCTGACAGACCCGACTCTCCCCTCCTACCGCGGTCATCGGTAGAATGTTCTTCAGGACCAGAGTCTTGTCCATCTTATGATGCTCTATTTTTCCCCGTCTCTCCTTCTCAGACTTTTGCTGAGGATGAGGTGAGGGAAGAGCGCGAACGCGAGCGCGCACTTCGTTTCCTCGTGCAGGAAATGTCACACTGGAAAATGAAGTCCAGTCCTACTACTCCGTACAAGAACATGGACAAGGTATTTCTATTTATGATCCGCTATTTATCGAGTTAAAATTCGGTTACTTAGCCTTTGCCGTCTCCTCCGCCACCCTCGCCGGCGACATCCACGACGCAGTCCACTTCGTCGCGTGTCATGCGTTCACGTTCCTCATCGATGCGCATTTCACGGCTGCCTTCTTTCACAAGCACGTTGTCGTCTGATCAGAGCCAACCACAAGATATATTTACACCGCCATTGCCTGTCTCCGTAATTGTGCACGGAGACACTCAACACGAACTTATTTCAGACCTTAAGCGTCCCGATCCGATTTTCCTCCGACGCATGGAATCATTCAACATGAAAGTTCAGGATGAACAGGAACTTTCTCTGCTGTCACCGATTCATGATGATCGTGATTCAGCATACCCGTCCCCTACGCTCTCCAATTTTTCGTACGCCCCATCTCGCGAAACTGCCCTTACCAGTCCCTGTGTCAGTTTTCCTGCGTCCCCTGCGAGTGCGACCTTCGCTCCTTGCTCACCGGAAAATATTGCACTGCCAGCATCCCCTCATACTGAACGCTTCCCGGAGCCTCATTCCGACGATCGCGGTGATGATTCATTTCCGATGTCTCCATCCGACACGGCGCTTCCCGTTTCACCATCGACAACTGCGTTTTCAGCGTCTCCTTCGTCAACTGCATTCCCCGTATCACCGAGTACCACTATATTTGCCGCTTCTGCACCTGAACTTGCTTTCTCTACGTCACCTTCTTTGACAGTGTATCGCGCCACCCCTTCGGACTCGAAGGATTGTGTAAATGATAATACCGCACAATCTCAGCATTTACGCTCGCCCACTAATAGCTCGGGAGATCTTCAAAGCAGATGGTCAGTTGCCACAACGGCATCACTAACTCCTTCACCTTCCGATCCGACGCCGACATCTTCAGGGACATTCCTCAGGTCCAGAACTCCCTCGAGGGGCAAGAAGGACAAAGAGGTATCAAAAGAGGTGAAAACCCCGCGCAAAACGCACCCGTCTTATCAGTTTTCATCTCGAAACTCTCCCCAGGCCGTTCAGATAGCAATGTCACAGCTTCGACCGACTATGACTATGAGTCGGATACAGACGAGAGAGTCGTCAAACCCGCAAAGACAATTGGAAAGAAATCATCCCTAGCCAGTCTGCGGGCATCATTCTCTTTATCACGTGCATCTTTTGCATCTCAACGTCCACTAGTGTCGTCCTTGGCGGAGGTGCCTCCGCTCCCTGTGTCCCCTTCGCGTACGTCATTCGGTGCATCACGTGTGTCTTTCGCAGCCGACGGTGCGATGGGCAATGGGGAGTCGGTGCCACCGGTACCGACCATCTCGTTATCGAGAATCCCTTCCCGCGCCACCGTGCTCGACGACACATTGCCGCCTATTCCCCAATCTGCTTCAACTATTACATCATTCCGGAGTGCGTCTCTGGTTTCTCTGCAGGCTTTTACCCCTCCTTCGGCTTCGGCATCACAGCTGTCCTTGCTTCCGTCGCCCATCGCAAGTCATAGTACATCAAGGTTGTCTTTACTATTGGCATCTGGATCTTCCAGGAATTCGGTTGTGTCATCTGCCGCATTAGACGCGCCCATCTCTATTCATCCCATGCCAAGTTCGGCGCCCAGTAGGGCCAAGTCGATCTTCAAGCTATCTTCGCGACCAAAAACACCCAAGGTTCGGGCCGTGCCAACTCCTTCAAAACTTCCTCTTCCCCGGACAGTAGTTGTCTCCTCTTCCAGTATCCCAAATGGGGCAAGCCCAATTGCGTCGAAGATCCCACCACCGCCAACAAAATTCACCCCCCCATCAAAATTAGCATCAATGCTCGCTTCGCAGTCTTCATCATCGCGGCTTCCTCATCCGACATCTTTTAACGCGCCACCAATATCCATGCTTCCACCTCCGCCGTCGAAGATCGCTCCACCGCCAAAAATTATTGTGCCGACTCCTCGGACACCATACCTCGGACAAGCGAGCCCTTCGACTATGGAACCGAAGTCACCTATGTCAATTGACGAGCCAACTGCACTGGTTTCGAGGCTTCCATTGCCTTCGGCAATGAAGGCGTCTCGCACTAACACCGTGAGGGGCTTTTGGCGCAGGGCACAATAGGTGCCATTTGGGTATGTAAGCTTAGTTCAGTCATCTTCCTGGACGCTAATATGGTTTTCACAGTCAAGCATTGGTGACCGTGGAAATCAGGATGCGGAATGGGTCGCTTCTTTCTGCTCAACACGCCGGCACGCGTTTTTGTCAATCTCATACTACTATCTATTGGTTATTCTCATTCTACCACACTCGTTATTGAATTGTAAACCTTGGTCATTACTCAGCCATCTCGCTCGCTCGCTGCTTTCCCTGCTCCGGTTTTCGTATGGTTCCTCTGGATTTCCGCTCGTTGGTGGTGGATCTCATCCTCTACTGTCATCCATCTGCACTATCTGTTGTGGAATTATACATGTACTCGGTCCTTGCCTTTCCTATCGCATTCAACCTATGTCTTCGAGCTACTCTCGTCTCGCTGGTCCGCCCTAATACCGTGCTCCACCTGCATCTTGTTTATACGTCACTATTCTCGTGATTCTTATTCTTGTTCATACTTGAATCCCGCTCAACCCGAACATCACAATCTTTTCGCGCATAGATAGCAATTGTACCTCAGGTCATACCGCCGCATCTTTCATCACACATTTACTTGCATATCACTTACTCATCGCTGCATCTGTAGAAGGGGGAATGGAAGGAAGAAGATGAAATATAACCAAAGTTTGAGATCATTTGGGATACGTATTAATCAGGGTGCGCAGTCACAATCGTCGATGGGCGGGGAAAATCCATTGCTTCAAGGGGCTGCTCCTGCGGCCCTCCGCGCGCGCCAGGGGGAAGACCGCTGCAACTCCGGACTTGAATAAGGTATTTCGTCATGGCTGAAATTTGAAGTCCATGATCAAGATTCAGTTGCTCCACTATATGATGATGAACCATAAGTATGTTTTCAAATTCACCGTCCCGAAAATCAATATTCACTGTGTGTCGGCGGAAATGCGATGTCATCCAATGGATTGAAATTTCATCCTGACCGCATTAGTGTCTATTCGATGCCGGGCGTCTCACATACCAATGCAGTCTTCGTCCGTGGTTCAAGAGATATTTTGTGATTGGTGGACTGGCTACTTAGGCACGCGAATTCGTTCCGGCCTGGACTCTGGAAGTGAGGCATAACTTGGCCCATTCAATTATTGGGACTTGCTTACGGCAGCAGAGTTGGACCTGATACTGCGGTATTGGTAGTATGTTCGGAACCATGATGGGCGTATCATTCTCTCAACAAGCTTCGATGCTTTTCTGCATACTCCGGGCTCTCGACCGGCTAAGCACTTGAGGGCGCTTGAACCCCTTGATTAGTATGATGGGTTTGGTTATGATCGTGGACTGCAGCGTTAGAGTTGCTGACCACAGTGCAACGCAGTACTTGAGGTCAAATTTCCGGGTCCACTTCCAAAGACCCTGCCTCAGGAATCGAAATTCTTGTCCAACTTGAACTAGACCATAGTTCGGGAGCCTTCGACAATTTACTCACACGCACGGACTAATACCCACCTCTGGTTTCTCGTACCGATGGCTCGTACATACCACTGCCAATCCTGGCTGGCTCATATTGAACCAATGGAGGAAGGGTTACGCTCGATGGGTTATCACATATTGAGTGTAGGCCCGCAAACGTTATGTCATTATGCTTATCAGTCGCCCGAGGACAAGGCTCGCTATACAACTTCAAATCTACAAGTTGGAATTCCCCTTGCAAGATCTATTTCCGTCCACTGATCAAAGTGAACCTTACATCGTTGCGATCTTACAGCGCCTCGACGGGATGGCTCGACCCAGTATTTGGCGCGACTCCGGTACCTCTCTTGGCTTACGGCTTGGACAACATCAATCGACTCCAAATGGCAACGTCCTCTCAAGAAATTACCTCCAGGAGCCTTATATGCGCCCCAGATAACCTTGTATAGCACTTTTTTCCGTTGGGGGTACATTTCACAATGACGTCTCATAGATCCTTCACACCGACGGAACAATGTGAAATGAGAAGAGTATGCCGGTACTTGTCTATCCCACTTTGACCATCGTGTCTACCTCCCCTCATTTCCGCTCAGGCTGTGAGCGAAGACACCTACCTTCCCATCGAACCTTCTGGTCATAAACTCCCATTTTTCGAATGGAACACTATGCCAAGTATTCACGTTCAAATTCTCGAAACAAACTGCGGACTGAGTTTGACAGCGGTGATATGAGGTTGCTCAACCTTGAACTGACAAGTTACATCACGATAGCCTAGGGGTAAGAAGGACATGTCGAGCCTCGCTTCGTCCTTTTTTCTCTCAGGTTGACATCTGTCATTCCGCGAGTGGTATCAGTCAGCTTCTCAATCTCCGCAAGTACGATCTCACCGCATTAACGACGGTAGTCAAGCCCTGCCTTTGCGATACCATCGAGCGCCTGCTTCTACTGATTGAAAACTGAGTATCATGCGCCAGCTGATCATCCGTCGTACTCTATACTTCAATCAAATCAATATTTGGCTGAAAATAGTCACCTCTATCAAAGTGAACACAAGCACTTTCGCCAATGGGGCTTTCACTAGGTTGTTGTTCGCGTAGCTCTTATTAAAAAGTGCAGCCAATCGATCATATCTCGGCGACATCTCCGCGTCCTATCAAATACCTAGAATTAATACCGTGATCATGTTCAACAATGTTATCGATTGTCCCTGTGATTGCACTGATTCAATCACTCACACTTGTGACTCGTGAGCTAACGGGAGGTCAATCGACATTGACGCTAGAACCGACACAACTGTCAAATGTCTAGCAATTAATGCAGTCCTTTGATCCGCTACCTAATTGGTTCGTCGTTAATTCTAACAAATTACTCGAGTCATTAATGCTATTACAAGCAAATATATTATATCTAATCTGGTATACTGGAATCCGTCAAACTTGTCAAGTCTCCAGCAACGCAGTTCGTGGATCGGCTCCATGAGAGGCACGAAGATTCACGACACCGCCGGCGACCGAACTGTATGCATGAGCATAGAAGTACGCTGCGTGGGCAAGGGTTGCCTGCTCGACCACACTGAGGACGTCGGTGAGCATCAGAGACCATCCAAAGGTTCGGCGATCGTCTATCGTTAGCAGGTCCGAAATCAAAACGGCACCTTGACTACGCAGGTATGTAAGATTCGTGGGATCGCGTTCGTCAGTGGCAATGTAGAATCTGAAAATTTTAGTATAATTTTTTCTCCTCATCAAAAGCAAGCTACATGTCTCACGGGTCATGATCTGCGGGAGGATCTAGAAGTAGAGGCGTGCGATCAGCTTGACCAGGAGGAACCTTGTACGTGTAGAGAGGTCCCGCGATGCACAAATTGTAGGATATCACGTCCGTCGCGTAGATGGCGCTTAACCCGGGCGAGATGAGCTGTGAAACTCGGTTCCATAGCCCATTTCAACGTCGCAACTAGAATACCTGCTGTGAGCGTCGATGCATTCGAGAAATATGTGGACTGACAGTCTCCCCGTCGCATATGCGCTCCCATCCACATCCGTCCGCCAGCCTTCTCGACCATGCGGTTAGACAGCTGATCCGCCAGCTCAATCACATTGTCTGTGAGACGAAAGTCATACAGGACTGTTTGCGTGTATCTCTCTCGACTTTCAAGAGGTGGTGAACTTGAGGGCACCCTACTCACTGGGTGTGATTAAAGCATCTTGTAGATGGGGATAAAAGAAATTACCGGCTTCCGTCCCGAATGAACCTCACCTCGGAGGAGGAGTACATCTTGCTCTATGAACCCAAAGTCTTCGTACAGTCCACGCAGTAGGTTTCGCGGGGCTGCTTCTCGGATTGGAACCACGACATCTTTCGTTGCGTCGGAGCCACAGCTAGGCAGATGGACTTATTCTCGGAGCCAGCCAAACAAGAGAATAGACTTACATGCCGCCGTAAGTGTAAAGCACTTCCCAGCCATTCTCTTCCAATGCACTTGCGATACCGCCAGCCGATGTCGATGATGACTCAGTCTCAATCGGGTCATTATTATCTCCCACGACTACGAGGACAGTGTCCCAATCAAGAACCGATGCGCCCGATGTCATTGCATCATGCAATGCCTTCGATAGAGGGGTTTTTTCTGCGATAGCCCAGGACCCGACTTGTCCATGAGTGATGTTCCATCCCCCCCTCTCTCGCATAGTTTGTGGCAGCTGATCAACCCGAATAACGTCGGCGTCATACCACTCATTCTTGATAACGTAGAGGCTGGGTTCCACCTTGCTGTCAGAGAAGATGTTGATGCCGCGGTGATATAAATCGGTATCCCAACGTCCGTTGGTGGTTTCCACATCGACCGAAATGTTGTGCAAGCGGAGATAATCAGATACTGTGATGACTGCATGTGTTTCACGCAGATGGGTCAAGTTGAACATGAGAGACACGGGTATTCTCCAGGCCATTTGTTTTTCTACGGGGAGTTGGCGCCATTCATCTTTTCCGGTTGCGTCCCCCCTATTGACCATAGTAGCATACGCAGCGCACACGGAGCTGGGAAAATCTTAAAATGTGGGGGTCGATACAAGCATAGCACGTACCTGTCGAATTCGCAGGCACGAGCGTAGACGTAAGAGGGTATGATTGTAGTACGGTTTAGAATACGTCCGTGGAGAACAGCTGTCTCGATGATGTATCGCATCTATCGGGAGTCAGCCATCACTTGCATAGTTCAGAAAAGAATCTGGGATATACATTATTCCAGCCTAACCAGAGGCTGTAGTCGCGTGCATAAAACCCTTTGGTTCGAGAGACTAAGTGACGGAGAGCGTCGAGCTCGGGATCGACCTCTGGAGACCCGCCCTGTTCTGAGGTGATGTTGGAGGGAGACTGCGAGTCTTCCAATGTTGTGTGCGCAAATAGAACTGAGTTTGGGGTGATTCCCAGCATCTTCAGTGCTAAGCCCGCCAGGATGCTGAACACGACTAGCGCGCCGATAAATGCCGGAATGGAAGGACGACTATGTCGTTTCATTGTAGCGGGCTGAACTGTAGCTTTCGCGTGAATTAGAATGAATGGGAAAATAAAATAGGCTGTGGTGAATAGTGCTGAACAAGTTGCAATTGGCCCGACGCCGCATCAACGAGATCAAACATAGGGGATTCGTTGACGCACTCACCTCATGATACATTTCCTTTCTGGTCATTGTTATTCAGTACTACTTATTAGGTTTGAATCCTGTCGCGGCGTCCCCAGTGCTGAGCTGCACAAGTATCCTGTCCTGCCAGGATACATTAGTGTGCCCTATTCAGGTACAACTTTTGCAGTTCTAATTTAACAGAGTATACCATGTCTGAAGGACTGTTACGACAACAATCCGGTTAGTGGGAGTGAATTCGGGTTTTGTAGGATGAATTCGTGCAGACACATGTACGCTGAACCGCAAGGAAATGTAGATGGATTTCTACATATGTAGTACGCAGTGATTTTTACATCACTTTCCGTGACCAGGCAACATATAGCTGGCTTTACCCTACATCTTATATGTTGGACAAATTTTGGTCGCCCTCGAGAATGTGGTTCACTTGCAACCGATAGCTAAGTGGAGTGTTCTCGTACAAGCCTTTGACAGACTGAGAGCAGCAGCACCGAAATCGCCTGAGGCAGTACCACATAAGTAGGTGTCGGGAGTTTAACGAGGAATGGACACTAACACTAGCACTGCCACATCACAATGGCGGGTGGCATCCTGTGGCACATCTGACGGTGGCACACTCATCGCCCAGGTCCAGTGAACGTTTTAAACTATATATTAACGAGAGGAGGCGTAGTTGAAGGTGCCGACCATGATGGCTACAGACTTGATTCTAAATTTCTGATTATAAAAAAACAAGCATCTAAAATCTGAGACCGAAGCTTAGTCATCTAAGTACTATTTCTGGCCGCTTGCTGGCCGGCATCTATACATGCATGCTGCAACTTTCGAAGTCTCGTTTGCCACTTGTTGAACTTGAATTTGGGATCCAACCCTCATAACACTGGGCCATGTTCACCAAAACAGACAGAAAAGTCCTGTTCAAATCTCCACCAACTGTATTCACAGACAAGCTTATCTCCCAAGAGGCGCGTCGATCTAAGGTGAGCAAAGGACATACTCTCATCTCTGATCATCCTTGTCTAAGAATACGTATTACTAGGCTTTGGAAGAACAGAAACGCGTGTGTGTGATGGACATTTGCGCATTTCTCTCGAATATTTAATATCGACTTACATTACAGAGACGAGCACAAAAGTTTGAATCCTCCAGGCAACTCGATGCTTTCGCCGATCTCAATCTTGGGAACTCTGATGATGACGGTGACCTCGAGGATGAGCCAGAGATAATACGTGAAGGTGTCTCCGGTTTTGTGCAGATGGTGTCACAACCTCTGGAGACCCCGTCTTTGTCCTCCGATGCGCACAATGACGAAATAGTGCAGTCGGCCAAGCGACGAGGGAAAACCCGACGTAAACGCATCAAAGCCAAACCGTCCAAATGGGCTGATAAATGCATGTACGCTGAGCTCCTGGAGATGAATGAAGAAGCTCACCTGTGGGACAATCAATCCGGTGATGTGATCGATGGCCTTCCACGCGATTTAGAGGCAGCCTGGGTAGCGGTGGCACCCGTTCCTACTGGGAAACGATGCTTGGCTGTTACTCATCAGTCAACCGGAATAGTTGGGATATGTATGTAATAGCTTCTTGGACGAACCTTTCAACTCATCATATTCTGATAGCGCCAAATACGACTCTTCGATCTCGTGTATTGGGCAAGATGCTCCTTCCTAGATTTCCATCCTCCCTCCCACCTCTTACAGTGCTCGATTGTATTCTAGATGTCAACTGGAGGGACAATGGCATCATTCATGTCCTGGACGTGCTCAAGTGGAAGGGTCAAGATGTCGGCGACTGCGAGACCCCTTTCAGGTGGGCATGCATTACATGCAAACGATCTGCTTCCTGAAATTTTATACGTAGGTTTTGGTGGAGAGATACCCGCTTAGCAGAACTTCCAAAGCCCCCTTTACCATCTGGAAATTTTTCATTTACAGCTCCTTGCACGACAGCGGACACTTCATCTCACAATGCCGGGTCATCTTCAAGTATGCCTACTTCTGAGCGCGAGCGCTACCGCTTTCCATATCCAACGTCTTTTGTCCCAATACCGTATCACACTGATACCACATTGACTTCCCTCTCTTCGTTTGTCATCCCTATGGCGCGATCAACACGAGAAATTAGTGTTGATATCCCCGTGCATGTCTCACCACCAGAATTCACTTTGCATGATATGGCCGTCGATGGCACTCATGATTCAGTGGCCTCACGATCTACTACGTCAGTTATTGCCCGCGTGGACTCCGATGGATTATTGCTGTATGTATCTCACGCAAGCTATGAGGAGGGAACCAGTCCCTTGAGTTGTTGGATACCCAACAAGGCGATCACAGAGCGCCCGGAACTTTCTAGTAGTTCTGAAGGTCATGACAGCCCACTTGATGTGTTCCAACGGTGCGTGATGTGTTCCTCCATAATGTTTTTGAACACTGACAGTCTATCAGTCTGGTCCAGCGGCGCACTGTAAAGAACCTTCATGTAGTTCCCGGTTTACAAAATTCTATGGACATATAAATACACGTTTTATCACGAATTGTCTCACATCATTCATTACCCATCTATCATGAGATTGACTTGTGAACACAAAATAGACCATCACTCATTCATGCAAGCAAGCCTAGTACAGCAAATGTCGTTTACTCTTGGCTACTACTGTAGATAAGAAATGAATATGAACAATACTTTTCCGTTCACAGACGAACGGTTTTCTTCTAAGTTATATCTATGAAATAAATGAACATTATAGATGTGATGATCCATTTTCCTCCGCCTCATTCTTGTTCTCAATAGCAAGCCTATCCGAAACTTTCTTCACCTCTTTCTGCCAGTCGGTTGCAATACACAGATAGGTGCCCCAGACAGAGCAATAAACGAGGGAAACTGTGAGTCCCACCCATAGTCCCACTAGTCCCATGCCCATTTTAAAAGTTAACCAAACACCAAAAGGAATGCCAATGACGTAGTAACCACTGCAAAAAATACGTTATCGAGAGAACCATGGCTGGTGTGCGTAGACCTTACCTGAGATTGAGAAGTGCGCCTACGAGCTGCAAGAGAACTGAATCAAAGAGTGCGATGAAATAACCTAGCACTTACTTGTTTGCCCTGTGCTCGCAAGACACCACTGGTAACAGCGGCGATCCCATCGAAGACCTGATACATGGCAACAACCGGAAGAACCGAGGCCACCAGCGTTACCACCTCTGAGACTGAATGAGTATTGGAGTGCACACCACACTGAAATCCTACCGGGGTCATCATTGACGATATACGCCCACGACTGCCTGAACGATATAAACATGGTACTAAAAAGTTTGTCTGCATGTCAACACTGCTTGACCTGAAACTGGCGCATATATACCTCCATATTGCCGAAATCGCAACTGCAAGAACAATCGCGGCGTATGCGGAAACTCCGGCACGCCTCGCCTGCTTTTCGCCCAAAAGATTCCCAATCCTACTGGACATCAGCCGAGACATGATTGGATGTGACACAACATACCGTCACAGACGTAGCCAAGGAGAGGGCGAAGGGAGCTTGAAATGTACAGGAGCTTGAGATGAGCAGAACGGATTGGGAAGCTAAGGCAGCAGGCCCGAGTCTATGAATAAATATTAGCGAGCTTGCCTACTTAATGCGGTTGGTCTCGCACAAACTGGCGGCCACTGTCAAAACGCAGATCAGCATCTACATTCTTAAGTTGCATACCAATATACGCACAGTTATTAAGCTCCCATGACCACCATTCAGATGCAGTCTGGCCAACGCCAGCGAGTCCCAGCTTGACAAGACAGTCCAAGCCAGTAAAGCTCCGCATTGAGATAGGATGCCAGGCAGTCTTCTCGACGTAGAAAATGCCATATATTACTGATGAAATCGAAATCAGATTGAAAGATATGGAAGTCGCGATTGGAGCTCCAATAAAGCCAATCCTGACGGACTCAGGACCCCATACTAGAATGTTCATGAGCTTCCAATTGAAACGTTAAAAAATCAGGACTATTACCAAAAACGTAATTCAAGGAGGGCGTTGATCGGCGCCACGACTAGGATGATCTTGGTCGGCACAGCGAAGAGTCCTCAAAAAGCAATTGACGATCGGTATGTAACCCTTCTAGTGATGTGACATTCATTACCTTGAGATTGAAAGTAGCGCCTATAATTCTCAGAAAGTCAGCATTAAAGATGCCGATGGTGTGTATACTATCGCACCGCGAAACGCAGTTGAAAGAATATGCTGGAAGTCCCAAAAGACGACCATCTTAAATAGACAGCAGCTAGGTGCGCAACTTCAGGATCCTGTCTGAGCAGGAGTAAAATGGATTCAGCGTTGAACCAAATCATAAAAACAGGCTGAAATTATATCAATGAGAGATCGGTGGGGACAAGTGACAAACATACCATAAGGGATTGTGGCCGTCACAACAACTGCGGAAATGATTAGATATAGGAGCATGCATAAGAATAATACTTGCGCATGCGTTGGCTCCATAAGCCGACTAATTGCGGATGGCTAGATGTCCATGCCGCAGGGAGAAGTGTGTCGAGAGCAGATACTAGACCTTGTACGATGGCGTAGCCCGATACGCTTGCGGTCATGAAAGCTAATGTTGCAGCAGCAAGTGCTGTCGTGGAGATGTGACCGATAGCCACTACGGAAGCGATATTGAAACTAAACTCAAACAGGTGAGTTCTGCGATGATCGAAGATTAGTGAAAGCTACATGGGAGGCTGCAATCTGTACGAACGCAAAAATGGGAAGGGTATATTTCGTGAGGATGCCAAGTTCCTCCTGGAATATTACCCAGGTACTGTGACAGTCCCTTTCATTCGAACAGTGCACACCCTCTTCTACGTGAGGAACCGGAGTTGATAGTAGAGGAGTATTCTCTGTCGGCAGATTGGTCATTATTACTGGTGCTGAGGATACGAAGGAGATGCTGGGCTGTGGAGCTACCCCGTTTGTAATTTGCGTTGGAGCATTCTCGGTCCCGTTCAGTAACTTCTGCGTTTGTTCCTCGAAGTTATGCCCCATGGAGGCCGCAAACTGAGCAAGAAACGCGTGGTCACAGGGCAGAGAACCTGGGGTGCCTGATACTGCATGTTATCCAAAAATTTCACCAGTGAAAAGTGGCTAGAATCTTGGGGGGTTAAAAAATTCCGCTATCTTCTCCGCCATCGACCATATGTCCGGGACACTCAGCCGTGAAAATGTCAGAAATCTAGGGGTGTCAAAATTTTTCACCCACCTTCAATATATCAGTCAGCTGTGAATATGTCAGAAACTTGTCCCTCAATTTGCTCTCGCGCTCGCCGGAGAGCGCTGTCTTGCTGCCATGCTAACTTGTACATGTTCAATATGATGGGCACCACTTTTGTCGAGAAATTTACGCCTCGGCTCCGCAAGAAGTCACGTGATTTTGATCGCGCGTCAATTTCTCCAGATATAGCATATGTCGGAGTTGGAATGAAAACAAGTTGTAAAAATAATTAAGAGAAGTAATTGTCTTCCTCGAATGGCGGAGGGCTTGCATCCTCCGCTGCAGCGCACTGCGCATCCTCATGAGCCCAAGGAAGATGATCTTGAAAAACTCAAGAAGTGGCAGGAAGCTCGCCTTGAACGAAAACTCCGTGGAGAGTATGAGTCTGCTGTTTTTCACCTTGCAGAGCTTGTGAGTGACACGTTCATCCGCATTCACATCACCTCCGAACGGATCAACAACAGGTCAACCAAAATCTCGAGACATCACTATCAGTCACTTCAATCCGTGTGGATGGTGCCACAAATACCAGGAAGTCTTTCTTAGGTTGGTTGATTCAGCCATGGCTTGCGCGGCACACAGACGACCGGGCGCACAAATCGAACAACCTGCAAGGAGCGCTGTATACTGCAAGGGGCATAAGCCACATTCTGCAAGAGACGGACCTATTTCACTCTGTTGACGCAAAAATCCAGAGGAGTCGAGATCACCTTGCCGGGGAGGGGGACGTTGATATTGTTGTCACCACACGTGAAAAAGGCCGGTTCTACTTGAAAAGTGCCACGGAATTTGGTAATAATGAGGGTAGCGTTGTGAGCATCGTGTTTTTACTAGTACCGATATGACACCTTCATGTTTCATTGCCATCACAGAGTGTCACGGGCAGAGTGCGAAACATATTTGGTGGAGCTGAGTTCCTGGAAGGACACTACTCAGCAGGAACAAAAACGCGTCGTTCTTTCCACGGGCTTCTCTCCCTTCCTCTTTCGCCGTCTTTGCGCACAACGGGCCAACTTTCGTTGTTCAGTCAGGAGCGAGATCTCTCGTCTTTTGCAAGTTGTTCGGAGATTTCACACGGCTTAAAGGTTGCAACAAATGTAAGTTTTATTACTTCTCCTGTGAAATGTCAAACATACTGAATCTGTGCTCCTGAAGAGCAACTGGGGAGTTCATGGTGTCCACGAAGTTGCGTATCAGGTCGTTTTAAGGCACATCAACAATTTAGCATCAAATGCATCAGTTAGGTCAGGCTGAACACGTATATCATTGAGTCTGTATTTAAGGATCATGCAGTATTCGCGAACACGCTGGTCACACTATCAAGTCGTCGATCTCTCATTCGTGGACAAAAGATACCAGAGATGACAAGCTTGCAGCGTCGCGTGGCTTCTATGGCAAGGTTTATCAAGAACTAGCTGGACTGTCAGGGGACGTGTCATTTTACAAGGCTGAGGTTGAAAGTCAGTTTTCCCGGCGCCTCGTTCCAGGAATGGTGAGACTCGTACTATTGTTGGATCAGTATGGCATGACTTCATGTTGAACATGCAGAGCCTCTCATTAGCTGCACGGTCTGGCTTCTTAAAGGCTCTTACCGGCCCTAGCCATTTTTCTGATAGGTTCCAGCTCGGTGGCCCTCTCAGTTTAAGGTCGTTCAGGGCAAACAGCATAGGCCCTCGAGATGGAGGTATTTCTCAATTTTAACGTGGAAAAGGCCTTTATTAATCTGTCCGCGCTAGTTGATTCACTTGGCGGTGATATTTATTGGTCAACAGGCGTTTCTTTGGTGTCCGATATCCCACGGAAACCTCATTGGCCCATCAAGTCACACATCTTTGTGAACGCTGGGAGGTTGGATGCAATGGACGGAAGTGCGTAACTACCCGATCCTTTTCCCTCTAGAAAGATACTGATTGCACTTTGGTTCTTTGCCTATGACAGCGAAAGGACTCAGCGAGAATTTAATAGGGTGTCTAAGAAAACCCTCGATATCTGCGGGAGTTGGCCTTATATACCGCTTCGATCCTGTGAGGGTAGAGGTAAACTTTGGGGTGCCGCTTGTTGCAAGTAAGAGCGATGGTGTGCGAAGGGGCTTCCAAGTTGGTATTGGCATGGAGTTTCTGTAAATTTTTCGTGTTCTGGAGTCCATGTCAGATTTAAGTGTTTGGTAGCTAGATCATCACTCACGAAATTAGAACAACCCACCGTGCGACCCCTCTGAATTGACCCCCATGAGTGTTACCTAATCTTTCGAAGCTTCACTTCTCGTTTTTGAATGCACTAAGTGCTTCACTGCTTGAATCCGCACTCAGCTAAGGTGTAGGCTATACTTGAGTGTCTCGTGCGTTCAATTGCGTCTCACATATTTTCCACTAACATACTTGATATAGTTGCAATGCCTCTACCATATGACTTATGTGCTCGCGTGCAAAACGCCTTTCGAGCACGACACCATAAAATAGCGGTGGACCACACAACGCAAAACCTCGGTATTTTAAGCATCCTCCTACGGACCGGCTTCATCTCCAACGTCACGCGCGGAACCATCGAGTCACCCTCTCCCACTGACTTCCTCCGTGTTGGCGAAGCCCAGCGCCGTATATGGGCCGAGCTTAAATACCGCGACGACCGGCCTGTCCTTTCGGATATGGAGCTCATTAGTAGACCCAGCAGACGCATTTTCATGGATATCGGGGAGTTGCGACGGATTTGCTCCGGACGCCGGGCGCAGACGATTAAACCACTGGGCATGGGTGAAATTGCAGTTGTACGGACAAAAAACAAAGAGCATGAATGGTTGGAGGCGCGAGAGGCTTTGCAGTTAAATCTAGATGGGGAAGTGATTTGTCGAGCTCGTTGATCCCGTCGAGGGCCTTTCGTTGGTGCGCAACGGGAATCATGATTTGTTCCGTCGTAGAGGCTAAATTCACTCTAGTTCTGTCCTACATATCATATAGATTTATCCACTACACTACTTGACAAACATCTGAGGCATGTGCATACTTTTGATGGTTAGTACCTTCATAATGTCAGGGAGTTGATGTCCTGATCTATTAGCCTTGGTGATTACATCGTCAATACAAGGTGCGCTACAAATTTGTGTAGGCGCGACTGTAGTCACAAAGTCACAAGTCTTGGGGAGTCTGTGCTAATGAACTCATTTGACCATAAGGAAAAGAAGACAGCAACAGCCCCATTGGTGGACAGGAAGGTATCATGGTAGTTGATGGGCTCACAAACAACTTGAAACAAGGAGCATAGTGATACAAGAATGCTATTCGAGATAAGGTAGTGCTCCACGCAACCAAGACCTACCAGTTTCACCCCTACGCCGTGATCCGTTGTTTACATTCTGGAGAGGGAACATTGGTTAAATCCTAAACTCGTAGCTTTGGTACTCACGTATTTCTCATTCTCGCAGCACAGAGGCTCCTGGTTTGCCGCACAGCCATTGGACGAGAGAGCCACAAATGCATCCACTACTGCAGCGACGTCAACCAGGCCGAGCTCGGTCAAGGTAGGCTCTGTTTGCCAATACTACAAAATTTTGAATTAGGAGATCGTTGCGTGCTTTTCATTGGACTAAGCTCACTATGGCTCACTATGGTGTCTTTGTTACGACGCTCGATGATACCGGTGTCTCACTGACTTTGAGCAGCAGCGAAGAGGGCAAACGAAATGAGGGCGAAGATGCTAAAGATCATTTTTGGTGAGAGAAGCTGAATGGGTGGGTGTGGTACTGGGCGGGCAGAGATGGGAGATGGGGAGCCCTTTCACTTTTTTTCCTTACTTTTATGTGTTCTCCGTCGCAGTTTACGGAATACTAACCAGAAATTCACAGTTACGGTAGGACACTGCAATTTCGGAGTGGGATTCACGCTAACGGCGTGTCCACTCGCAGGCCCTTCATGAGCGCAATTTCTTCTGCGTCCTTCGATTTGAACCTGCAAATGCACGAAAACCAATACCGCTCCAGCCCTGACCCAAAAATTCGGCAAATTATATACATTGATCCTGAGATCGATGACTTGACGTTAGCATACAGTCAACTTCTTACGATACCATTACACAGTTACAGAGCAATCAAACTTCATAGCGGCGCACCCGGAGAGGCACACTTCCAGCCTCAGCACTCCCAACCACCTCCGGCCTTGGTAAATTTCCCAAACTTTCCACAATCTGCACTCCAGGGCCATCCGCCATCTCAAACATAAAGTTTCGCACAAGGGCGAACAGCACAGCCTGAGACGAAACCAGACCTGGTCAAAACAATCCAGAACCAATACTCTCAATGCGCAGCTGCGTACCTTGAATTCTGTCAACGCAAATAGCCTCCCAAGGCATATCCGCGCTCCGTCACCAAATGTCATTAAATGACGGTAGCCATTGCAGGGCTTCTCTGGCCCCATGCGTACCCTCGTCCCGTTCGTACCACCGGGAAGGTTTAAACACCTTTGCGTCAGGGCCCCACATGCTAACAGAGCAATCGAGTGCAGCGAACGGGACAACGATCACAGTCCCCTTTGGGATGCATACACTCTCAGTAAAGTTACCAGAAGCTGTGCGCAAGGGCTCGCTGAGCGGGATGATGTCTTCTTGCGTAGCCTGTCATACTCGGTCAAGTGTTTTGTGTTGCATATTTGAGTCGGATACGCACCGATCGCTGGATCTGTTTGATTGGTGCGTGGAGGCGAAGAACTTCATTCACCACAGCGTCCAGGTAGGGAAGCTTATTCGCGAGGTCGTCATATGAGGGGGTCGGTCCGAACTCTAGACACTCGTCGCGAAGCTTCGTCTGCACGTCTAGATTCCGCGCGAGTTCTACCAAAGCCCACTGTGGAGTTGAGAAACACGGCTGGAGCAGCTGACGATTCGAACCTTACTGTCATACTGACTGATAAAATGTGAGCAACGGTGAATATTCAATTCTTTTGTTAGATGAATGCACATTACCTGCAGTGGTCTCAAAGCCGGCGAGAAGGAGAACCCTTGCCTGGCAGAGACGGAGATCAGCGTCCCATAGTTCAGGAGAGTTCTATGAGTCGTGTACCTCGTCTATTACTTCTTGTGGAGTCAGTCCCACCCTCTCACCAGATTCCTCCGCTTTCACTACACAACAATTTCAGGGTTTAAGATTTGGCAAATGAACGGCAAGACTCACAGAGCAAACCCAAACATGATTTATCCCCCTGCGCGGCGCCACCAGTCTCTTTTTCCTTGCGTGTCCGCGATAGCATCTCCTGGCATATTTTTCCAACTATCAGGCGAAACTTTAGGGAGAATTGTGTGCGAGGTAATGGCAGCTTCAGGATGAAAGGAAAGTTTTGTGCCAATATGACCAAGTTGTTGGAAACATCAACGGATGAACTAAATGCATTCAGGACGTGCCCGACGTCGGAGTCGTTTCCACCGAGTGCGCCGAAGTCATGGGACAGGACGGCTATGCCCACACTGTCGAGTCTATGTGGCAGGTGCTTGATAAGACATCAGCCTGGTAGAAAGGAATGGATATACGTACGAGATATGATTCATCCTGCACAATGTGTCTGAGTGCGCAGGTACGAAACTTTGGGGAGAAAAATTACCATTGTTGAACATCAATTACTGCGCAATGAGTTCTTTGGTTCGATTCTATCTCACTGTCCCAAGCGATCACTGTCTGTAACACATTTTGAGTGAAGTGCAGGGTGAGTCGATTAGTGACTGACCTTGTGAGCGGCATCATGGAAAACAGATATCAAGCTGCGAATAGCAGCTGCGCTAAAGGCAGGATTGAGGGCCTTGCGCTGCCTGATGAATGAGAGAAAATGACATGGATTTAGCTCGGCACAACTCGGAGGTCTTACTTCCAACCTTTTGTGACTTTCACCATCGGCCCACAACATTCCTCTTCCAATCTGTCAGTCGCATTGTGCATAAGCGCGCCGTTACCCTATAGCTGTGCAAGAAGGTAAAGCGACATACCGCTGTTTGAAGAGCAATCTTGTTGAACGGAGGTTGGTTATACAACCATGTGTCTCTTGCAAAGAAATGAGATATTGCTTTGGGGTCCCATAGTATAACCTTAGACTGTCCAAAGATATCCGGAACCTTGCACACTGGACCGTACTCTCTGGCCCAACGTTCGTATAGTTCAGTTGTAGCGGTGGAATCTAACAGTATCTTGGCGAAGCCAAACACCCAGCCTGGGCTCTGAGGTCCTCGTATGCGTGTCGTTCGTTGTTTTTGGCGATAGACTTGCAGGAGATAGAGGGACGCCAGTACCAAAACCGAGATACGTGTCGTTGAGCCTGGCAGGGGCGAGACGAGGCAAATGTCCTTGAAGGCAAGCCAAATGTCCCTGCCGCAGTGCTTGCTTTGCAACAAACCCATGCCAACGACAGCAAGCGAGATGGGCCCGAGCTGGCATGCTGGCCGCATCTGCATTAAGGCCTGACAAGCGCTCGCCGGAGCCTATATCTCATACATAGTACTACACGGTTAGTTCTCCGGGGGGTCTGTGAGACCTTTGGAGTGGTTTGTGTCTTAAGTCTAGTAGACTCGATACTAGTACGTACACGTCTCGTGACGACGTGACCGTGATCGTCATATTCGCCACCCGAACTTATGACTCTGCCCGAGATCCTACTAGGAGATCCATCCTCGGGGTAGTGACTATGGGCACTACATATTCGATCTTTCATCCTTAATATTTTATCAAAGGACCGCTTTTGCGCTAAACTTCGGTGTCACGACAGATTCTGGTTGCCTCGTCGAGGTGTTTGTCTAGATTCTTGAATCTTCACGCGTTGCTTGGTGAGCACTAAGCTCAGGGTCTGTATAGCATCCAATAATTCTACGGCCAAGCCTGGATCTGTCTATGCAACTGCGGGAGTCCATCCTTTGCCCGCACTCTGATATACAAGTTCCTTGGTTATCACGCATTGACGTTGATAGGTGAACAACTGAGATTGACCAGACCATTCTGAAAGAATGGTCAAGTTGGGTATACTTTGACAAGACTGATGCACTCACGGTATTGACCTCTTCGCAACATAGGGGTTCCTGGTTCGCACTGCAGCCTTGGGAGGTGCCCACAACACTATCCCCCGAGCATTCATTCATTGCTCGACGCTTGTCGATTCCCCCCAGCGCGAAATATTCTGCCGCATCGGAGGACTATTGTGGAATGGAAGTCAGTAATAATTTCGCCGAGCAATATTTTGGTGATGTACCGTGGATTTCAAGTCACAGCACATAATCTTTCCTGTGTCGCACTGCGAGTCGTCTGCCATGACTAGGATCGTCAAGGATAACAAAGCTACGATACGTTTCAACATCTTGTATCGGGTTGACTGGAAATGTTGGTATGTGTGTATACAACGGGGTGGATTTGCAGCCAATTGACCTTCCTGCAGCCTGCCCATTTATGCATTCCCATTGTTTGATGTTGTGTCTGTAGGTTGAAGAAGTCCGTTATTTCTTCGCGAAGTCCAAACGTTCAAATCAGCTACCACGGACTAGTGTCGGTGCAACCGACCTAGCGCCGACGTAGACCTAAGGCCGCAACTGCGATGGTGCCCTCATGTCCTGGACTCATCAGCGTTACTCACTTTTTTAACCACCACATCGTATGATTCGCCGTTTTGAAGGATAGTGCCTGTCCATGCATAAACACAGCCCGTAAACTTCCTCAAGCGCCTTATAGAATCTTCTTCAAGTGGAGCTTAAGTGCGCATTCAGGAGATCGTTGCTTCATCTCCACGAAATTTGTGTCCGTTAATCTCGCCTGACATTTGTCCATTGTTGTTGGGCTCTTAGGCTGGAGAATAAGCATGCGGATTGCCTATCATTGTTGACCTATCATGAGATTATTTACGTCGTCTTTAACGATATTTCCATGTGTGGTGTAATACATATTATACGTACGTACTATATGGCGTCTATTACAGTTGAATGCAGTCCTCGTCAACGCACGTGTAGCGGTCAGAAGGCATCAGCGCTTCAGCTCCGAGCAAATTCCGATTCTTCCAAGTATGACTGGCCAAATAACCAGCAAGCTCAGCAATCAAATATTTGTTATTGTCAAAGACCTATATCCTCCAAATATAACCGCCTACATCCCTCCGCCTCTTAAATATAGCTCTTCATGATGAAAATGACCCATAAGTACTGTTGACTGAGACTATAATTTGAACGTCTCGAGACAGAGCTTTATTTGCGTGTTCAACGAATGAGCCAGACGGGGGCTTTTAGGGCAAGTGATCTGTTTTTGCACTCGACAAGATAAAAGGAACGGTTGGCCCAGTGTGGAACTCATTGCCAATGCCAGCACTCCCTATCTTGATTCGGAGAGGGAAAATTTACATCGTACACAACATACTTACCAGTTGTTTGTGTGCATTGTTTTGTCTCGTGTGATGATCATGCTCATAGAATCCGTTGTCCCGGTAATCGCGCACCTTCCAGAGTTATCGCCCAGCGACCACTCGCCAGTTAATAACGTCTCCGGCTTCATGAGTTCTTCGGCAGGGAATAATCTCAGAAAATTGGATACAATTACAGTGATACAACGATACAAAACAAGGACCCATGTTTCGTTTATACCACCTGTCTGCTGCGCCGCAAGCGGTTGACGGTACTGGAACGGTCCAAATGGGATTTCAGCATCCGTAAGGTCTGCACAATCTCATCTGTCGCCACCATCAGTTCGGTAGGACAACAACAGCGAATGCCTCAACTCACTCGCAAGCTTCGGCGTATCCGCCTCAAAGTCGTAGCGCTTGCTCCCGCTGTCCCGTTGTACGACGATCTTGAACAGCGTCGACGATTTCGCGGACTGTTGACATTGGATGATGCTCTTGATATGGAATGACACCGTCTTTCCACTATCAAAGACCGCTTTGGCCTTGTTTGTGGATGGCATGATCTGGAGGAAGACTGTCATTTCCGAGCTTTGGTGATGATGGAGGATCTTACATGGATATAAACACCATCAATGGCCAAAGTGCGTTCCTGACGGGCCAGCATAGGCATTTTGCGGTAAATGGTGTATCTCTTTTATCGAAAATTAACACCGTGAGGAATACCCATCAAGAAGGATAACGAACCTTGTATGCTGTCGCATAGTCGGCCGCAGAGCTTAGCTGCATCTCTGGGATTTCCGATATCCGTTTGGAAATAGAAGCTGGAGAAAGAAAACACTTAGAAGCTATTCTGAGCGTAAGATGGTTACTAGTACCATTCGGGTCAGTGGTGCGTGCTGATCTGCTTTCGGGCTCGATGCCCAGTTGAGGCAGCGTGGATCTCTTGACCAACGTCAGCTCGCGTCTACCTCCGAGACTAGCAACCGTGCGATCGAGGTACGCCAGCATGTTGAGTTCGTTGACGATCAGAGCATAGTCCTTGAGGTTTGCTACTTTGCTCTTCCGGCAAACTGCTTCAAGCACCTCCTGCATGTACATACCCGCTGATCTGTGCTCAGCAGTGAGTAGGATAGAGGGCAACATAGCCAAATGTAACTTACACAGGGATGGTGGTGGATATATGGACTGCATCAGCGGTGTCTGCAACACGAATACGCAAAAACAACTGGGGACCATGGCTCGACGAAGGACCCAAAGAAGACGATAAGATTGGAGTTGTACCGAACATCGCGCTTGTAGGGCCGGAGACGGATGGCAACGCCAAGCCGCCTGGAGGTCCTGAATCCTGCTTCTTTGGCGCCGCCATAACTCTCGAGGGCCGTCGCTGTATATTGGTCTCCAGCTGTTCATTTTGTTGTACTGAGGGGCATAATTAGCATTGACAAACGAAGAAATGGGTATCGTACTTTGCAGCGGGGGTAGCAGGTAGAATAGCGAATGCCTCAAAACCAAATGCCGAGACCTTGCGCGTACGGTCGGGTGCTGTGAAAGAAAAATATGAATCTTCTGCTACAGCCAGCGACCAACTGGACATACGCGGAAAATCCTCATCGACCTCGCCGTCATCCTCTGCAATGCGCATGACCCAACCTATTGCCGAGAGCTTTGGGTCATCATCCTTAACGCCTGCATTCAGTTCAGGCAGCCATCGCTCGTCCCAGTAAGTCCATAAAGCGAAACCGATGACTTCCTCGATAGTCGCGTCTTTCCGCACGTTCAGAGTCACATGTTCACCACGAGGTTCTTCCGCATGCGGAAAGAAAACCTTGACGTCTACTGAGGCCGTCTCTCCCCCGTCCAGATATGGCACCATACAGTTCACTGAATGGGTTGGCGGGACCGCCTGATGAAACAAGGATAGCAGTGAGAGCAGATGCATGCGGGCGCGCTGGCGCGACAGGCTTGCGTGTGAATGTCATGTCGGATGGAGTGTCGATAACAGGTAGTGATATTGAGACGCCTCTTCTGCGAGTTTCGTGTTTGGGGGGTGGTGGTTCAGATCGCTGATCAGGCTTTGATACCGGATTGATCATCTCGAAAGGAGTCTCGATGGGCTTAGAATGAAGGGTTGGAAGGCACCCTTCGTCAGTCTTGTCCGTAGCACGATGTTCAGACACGGGGCTGAGTCGTGAGCGTGTTCGTGTGTGCGGAGCAACGAACGGTGATGTTCCAAGAGTGGATATATTAGACCCAGACAGTACTGAGGCGGTCCCTGAGAGAAGGGAAACCCCATCGGATGCGCTGTCCGAGTGCATGCCTCGGGTGGCAGCGAAATCTCTTTATATAAGGCGGTGAGCTTTGCAACTAAGTGAATTATGCAACACCGTACGGATCAAATTCGTCAACTTCATCCATATTGTCGTCTCCTGGGGCAACCAAATCATAGTCGTCATCGTATCATCTTCCAACATGCCATCCTCATCATCGGACGAAGAGAGATCGGGATTGAGGCCACGTGCCGTTACGGAGGGAATCTTTTGGCATGGAAGCTGGGACAACCGCGGCGCGCCATCATTCGTACCCTGCGCCTGGCCTCCATTTCGGCCGCACCTTTGAATTTTGGCACAAATGGAATATCCTTTGGGGGTAGCTCAGGAGGGGGGGTCGTCTTTCCTCAGTGCGGGTTGAGGTTGCGATACATCAGCCTGTTCTGAAGTGATTGGACATGGATCAACGTCACTAGCAGCATTTATGAAGTTGACGCGCGGCAGGGCAGCGGGAGCATCTGCTCCTTCGTTATGCATGCTGGCTCTCTTTGCAATGAGAGAGGCTCGCTTTGATGTAGAAGTACGTCGACCTGATACTCTCAAGCCAAACGCTCCCGATCTGTTGCCCATGATTGTTTGGTGGTGCTTAAGACCAGTGGCCCCAGGGAACCCGGATGAGGATTTATCAGGAGCCTCTGATTCATCGTCTGATATAGGCGGACTGGAGGGATATTCGAGTTCTGGCCAACGATGAACATCGGCGAGTGATGCTGCGACAATATAAGAGTTTGAGGTATAGGATGGGCTCAGGGAGATTATACGCGCGCCATAAGGATCATCGACATTACGCAGGTAAGACAGTCTTAAACTGTGAACTAAATATCTGTGTATCAAAGGCATGAGTGCACCATTTGGATCGTCCAGACCTTACCAGGCGTACCCTGGGTCACTGATGAGAGACATGGCGTCTGATCCTACTGGTTCGGTCACGGTCGTGCCCTGACGGAGTCCGGTCGCTCTTCAGATATTTAGTATATTACAACTTTAGCCTTCAGATATGTGAAGACAATAGTGCCTGAGCCAAGTCTGAGATCTGAGCAGGTAACGCCCGTTATTTGAGAGTTCAAGGCGTTCGTTGTACAAGTTACAACTGACATCGCTAGGCAGGTACACTTACTACAGTACGTACAAAGCACCATTACCAATCCAAGTTGACCGGGTATATGCACGTAACCGGTAGCCGATAAGTAGTCCAGTCTCGTCTCGAGTAACTAGACAACAATTTGCTTAGCCACGGTAACGTCGATTTCGCAGGGCAGAAAAAGCGCAGTGTCGAGATAGATTTTTGATTGATTTACTATCAACCATACCGGTACAAATGCAATAGCCAAGTACGAGGTGGAAACGACTCATATCATCATTTCGCAGCATCACGATTTAATCTGATTCACTGGAGTCATGTCAACGTACTTGAAAAGATGTTTCCTCACTCTCTGCAATGCCTGCATATCGTCGTTTCATTAGTATTAGCCTGATCCCTTCTAACGTGGCATGGTGAGACACTCTTGGGCTGTCGGCTTCGTCAGGGAAGTCGTTCGTACATCTGTAAAAATGTCCACTGTATACAACATTCTCAGTAGCTCTTTCTTGATGAGGACGAGTTGCTTGGTTGACTGCAAACCAATCTTGATAACGCATCGAGGTGTCAAAAGTTCTGCAGAGAATGGATAAATCTACCTCTCATATAAATTACCTTAAGCTTCGAAGGAGGAATTAAGTTCGTCATCTTCGACTGTGGCACTGGCAGCCGACTCATCAGCATGTTGGAAGCGTACCTTCTGGTATATATATGGAACACGTACGAAGTCAAGATCAACTAGAGTGATTACTATAGCAATCGATAAATCTGCCATGCACAAACGATCAATCTGTCAAATCGCAGAGTCTCGCCGCCGTACCAACAGGCACTGGAATATTGAGTAGAAATCGGAAAACGAACGTTTGGAGTTGGCGCCACAATATATGCGGGAATAATCATGTTCAAACCAACCTAGTGGCGCAAGGTTGGCGAAAGAAACATCATCGGTAATAGACCAGGCATCAATTATACGTCTCGTGCAGCTGAAGGCTTTGCATGGTTTCGCAAGTAGAAATGCGCAAAAGACAAATATTGGGACATTCCAGATCAAGGTTGCGGTGTGGACCAGTCGTTGCTGGTCTCCTCCAGACAGATCCAAAGATTTAGTATAAAAGAGGACAGATAGTAAGATGGAGTACGCACAAATGATAACCATATAATAACGTGCGTTCTGAGGTTCAGAGTACAGACTTGGGCAAGAAGGGTCAACGGGCCCAAGTTGAAGTAACATGTTAGAAATTTCAACCCGCAGTGACCACACATAACTGTACGCGTGTATGCCCTTGGACTACCTGATTTTGAAACGTACGTGGACCAGCCTTCCCCATTCCTCCTATAATAGCGGATGTGAGAATCCTGCTTGGCAAATATATTTCACCTTGAGGCTCCGATGCGGAGCCCAGCATATCGGCTTGAGTCAGTACTTGTTATTCAATACGTTGAAATTTGTCCGCTGCTTCGGCGAGGTTACCCTCATGATGTAGACTGACCGAGTTGTCTTCCTTAGATTCGGACTGATCGAAGGAAGACGGTACTTGCTTCGTTTCTTCGCAGTAAGTATGTAAGCGCGGTATTTGGGTCTTGCGTCGCGGAGACCGCTCCTCGGGTTTCTTTCAATGCCGTGGAGCGGAGAGGGGAATGCCAAAACTGTTCTGGACCAAGATGCCTGTTGAGAACCATCAAAGAAGGGGTGCCAATGGCATGCATCGCAATAAGTAGAAATGCTTTAGACGGCGCGGGCAGTCAATCGGCAGTATGTTTAGCTTTGAAGTCAAGACAACCGTGTCAAACAGTACAGATGACCGAGTGGTCTCCCTTGGATGAACCTATTGTAAAAAAAAACATATGGCACTAGTCCTTCACAAGCACGGTACTAGAATGGTACTGGAGAGAACAACGGCGTGTATCGAGGCTACCCTCTCGGGTTTCTTTCATAACCGTAGAGCGGAGAGCTCGGGGAATTGCAAAGCTGTCTGATGGAGTTGGAAAAAATCATAAATCGGAAGTGACTGTGTGGCCGTCGGTATCACGTGATGACCGACCAATAAGAAGTGATTCACCAGGATTCCAGTCGCAACATAGAAGATGCGCTTATGAATATACACCGTCGGCATTTAGTGCAACTATACGATGCCGACACGGCGGGGCTCGGTGACTGTGATGAGATCCCGAAGTCACAGGGGCTCTCCGCAGGTATAAAGTCTGGCGGGTTTGCTCGATGGTTCTTCAGTTCAAGTCGCCCCCAGTTCCTTGATCACCCAACTTCAACGCTCTTTCGAAAGAATCCCCAAACCAACCAACCTTTACTCTCATAAAGATGTTTGTTCGTATCCTGTCTATCACGTCCCTTGCTGTTCTGGCTATCGCCACGCCCCTCGCTCTGCGCGACTCCAGCGGCCAGTGCAACACCGGCAACATCCAATGTTGTCAGTCGACTCAGCCGGTGAGTTGATATGTATAGCGCACCGTCTCTGTAACTCGTTTTTATATCGATACTAGGTCGATGAGTACAACAAGAACGCGACGATGTATGGGGAGATCCCCATCTACGCTGACGTCCTCGGCGAAGTCGGTCTCGGCTGCACCCCAATCTCAGTGATTGGCACTGGTGACGGTGCCAACTGTCTCCAGCAGCCCGTCTGCTGCAGCAACGAGTCATACGTACGTATTCAACCTTCGTTGTCTATGTTCTACTTCTTAACGATTTGTAGAACGGCCTCGTCAACATCGGCTGCACGCCCATCAATCTCTTCCTCTGAGCTTTGAAGGCGGGGAAGCGCGCTTGCGATGGAGGGATGAGCGCTAGCTTTCGACGCGGTCGCTATCAGTTTGTTATAGTTTTACTCGAGCTTCAGAGGTTCCCTTATTAGCAAAATGTCAATGCACGCTCTTTGTTTCCAGTTGATCCGTCTGAAATGAAAGTCAATATAGTCCAGCTGCCTCTAATGACGTCTGCCTGAACTTAGCCTTTGGTTGAACTTTCATTTACTCGAGCCTCTCTCCTAGGGTCTTCAATGGCAAATCTGAAAATTCTAAATTAGGCAAAAGTTTAAGATCGTCAGGGAACACGTACGAAACAGAGGCTTTAGTTTCTAGGACATGCCATTACCACGCTTTTCAACGTCGTCAGTACTTCTGTCGTATATATACGAGGCGTCATTGCATGCTCTGACGCGGCGTCTAGGTTTTCACTGCGGACTCGAGGTAAATATACTTCAATAAATAATGGGCAACCCAGAAAGCTATCCTACGGACGTGATAACATAACTCAATCATAGTGCTTCAATCATCTGCCGGACTTCTCTTGCCCTCCCTGCGAATAATGATATTTGCTTCTTCCCGTCCTGCATGAGTTGCTCATAGCTATTTTCGATCTCCTGTCTTATCCATTGCTCGACTGTAAGACATCGTTCTTCAGGAGTGAGCGTTTCTGGTTGGAGAGAAGGAATGGTTTCGAGCTCTTGATATTGAGAAGGCGGAAGCGACGACGGAGGGTGGGGTGGACTGGAAATGGGCGGGTCGTATGGTTGTGGTGTCTGATCAACAACCATAGGTGCGTCATCGTTATGAGGGGTCTCGGGTCGCGAGGGAGGACGAGGCGTGTTTCTAAGGTTGTCCACCTCCACATCGCTCGGGTATTGTTCGCTATGAAGATCGTCCTGAATGCGTACTAGTTGTACAGGAGTATCGTCCGTTCTAGCAGGCTCGTCGACCTTTACTTCCGATGGGACACTTTCTGTTTCTGATATGATAGGGTCCGTCTCAGACTCTAAGGCTACCACCTCAGCCTCGGGTAGGTTTGCCAGTGCTGACTTGGACGATCTCGCCGGAGCCTTCTTGCCGGTCGCTTTAGTCTTCGCTGGTGGCTTAGATGTGGAGACAGCGCGTCCCTTTCGTTTTGTCTTGGGTGCTTGCACCTCCTCGACAATCTCTGCCTGCGCGAGTTCATCACCCGAGTCGGACTGTTCAGGTTTGGGATCGGGTGGAATATCAACCGCCCCTTTCTTCGTCCGCGCTCGTGAAGCAGTGCGGGGTTTGCTACCTGATGCGCTGAAAAATGGGCATCGCGTGCCGGATTTGGTGTCGCGTTTCTTATGTTCCCCTCTGTCGTGGATGGGTCACCTTACGTCTCGGGGGGAGAACTTCATGTACCCACATTGGATCATCGTCAGTGTCCCAGCCACCTAGTGAGAGGTTGCAATACAAGCAAGTTACGGTATCATCATCCTTTGTTTGGGGGGTATACACGAACCCTCCCTGGGCCATCTAATGATAATGAATGAGATTTAAAGTACGGCATAAATGAGCGTGGGGACGCACCTTCTTTGAGCTAGCACCGTGGTCATCTTGCTCGTCATGAGGCCACAAGTTTTCGCCGAATGTCTGAAGACGTGCCTTCTCCATCGCCTTGCTCGTTGGCAAACGTTTCTTGTTCAAGAATACAAAGCTAGTGTTTGAATAAGCATCTCTTATGCTTAGAAGACGCGTGAACGCACCTTCCATCCTCTGCAATATCCTCACTGAGTCCGCACCGGACTATTGCCCACGCACAAGTACTGCCACACTTCTGCCAATGAATCAGGAAAGGGTTATCCTGTTCATCCCAGTCGCTCAGCTCTTTGTGACACAGAAAGCAAGCGACGCTATCCCTGTCTTCCCAGCTTGGTACCCAGTAAAAGCCTGCTTCGGCAAGGGTGTGCGGGTTGGCGCTGAAAGAGGAAGGATGGGGCCATTTCACGGTTGCGGAGGCAGAGTTGGACTTTGAACTCTTCTTTACGCGCTTGGATTTAAGAAATGAGTCGATGCGTGCTTGAAGGCTTTCCATCGCGGTCGAGGTGGTCTTGGAGAGAGATCAAGGTTTGAGTGGGTCACGTGCGTGTGCATTGTACGCGCCGATGCACCCGGCCGGATTCCGACAAGAGCTCGCTGTCTACCACGATCCACAACTATATTCTACGACGACCACAGCGACCATGAAAAGGACATACGGACGCAAGAACTCACGCCGTGCGTGGCAAGATTCACCAGATGCAGAGGTTGTGCTCTCGCCACCGCGGAAACGACCCAGAATTGAGGTTGAGATCGTGCAGCCGCCGCCCAGTTCGCATTTATCACCACCTAAAGTAACCAGTCCTATCCGAAGAAGTACGACGATGCCTGATGTGGTCTCAACTTCGAGCACTCCGTCGAACATTCGTACGCCGACTAAGCCAGCTCGGGATCTGAGCACATTGTTCCCCGCTTCTCCGTATCAGACACCGAACTCACCTGGAAGGTCGCTCGGAGTGGGTGAAGCGTATGCTATCACGCTCACGCACGGAGTCGTCCATTGATCATAATGCCGGTCATAATTTCCGCTCATTAACCCGTGTGTCTTAGTCACCCTACTGAGTTTAGTGACGCTAATATCACTACATTCCCTAGCATCGTCTAATACACTTCCTGTTCATTCTTCTCCACCGAAGATAGCTTCCTCGCGTTCACCTTCCCCAACACAGAGTAAACCCCTACTCACAAAGCACACACGGACGTATGCTGGCGCATCACGTTCGTACCGTATTGAGCTTCCGGCAGCTGATCTCGCAGAACCAGATGACACGCGTGAATCTTATGATGACTTGCGGTCTCGGTGGGGTGTCGACAACTCCGAGGACGATCCACGTCCTTTCGACAATGATACTCGGACACCGAAGAAGACCTCTAGCGTGGGTTCGCGGGTGCTAGCGAATGGGATGATGAATGATCTCAAGAGTATCACAGAGTTGCGGAGCAAGGGCGAGAGCAGACGATTTCTTGACGAGGTAGGGTATCTATTCGAAGGCATAGAGAGTGGTTGTGCTATTGCACTCCGCAGAGCCAGGTGCGTACTGGCGTGCTCCAGGAACGAACAGTGAAGCTCATTTTCACCGTGATCAGTGTCTTGGAAATTGTAACTAAACTATGCGACCCCGAATTCAACCGCCGTGCGAAAACATCTGATTTTTATGCTCGCACTTGGGATGTGTTCCTCAAAGCCCGCGGAGACGGTCCAGATAAAGTTTGTTCATATCCTTTATTTCAAGCCTGTCCACCCTTTTCGATGTCATTTGCTACGAAACATGAACTCAACCTTCTGTAGATTCTTGATGCCACCCTCTCCTTCTTTGCGTTCCTCTCCACCCGCGACCCCCAAACTCTTTCCGAACTTGCTCATAAACCCGAGCTTGTCCCCACCCTCCTTGATATCCTGCGCTCCCTCACTCCCACCTCCGACATGAAGGGTGATGGGCTCAATCAGGGTATGTCCTAACTCCATGAGCTTCTCCGACAGAATTTGTGCTTGATATCCATCAATATGACCATCCGCTGACAAACCATCCAGGTCTAAAGAAAGACATCCTTGCACTCGCCCTGTCAGGGTTAGATGCCATAGGGCTGAGAGCATCAGGCATAATTAGGACAGACGTGGCGCCGGTGAGTAAGTTTCGTGGCGGCTGTCAAGAATGATATAATAATTGGCCTTGTTCATTTTCGTGACATTGAATTGGCATTCACGTCATGTTGGCTATCGGCGGTAGCTCCAAGCCCTTGCAGACGTGATTGTGAAATCAGGAGTAATGAAGGATGCACGCGGGGTACGTTATACTGTCGCTCCTGTCATTTTGATTCCCTTGCTCATTGCTCTTCATTTCGTTTACACCCGCCCCGTGTTGTACTTCTGTTGCTATGAACGTTTGATTGTTCGTCATGAACTTCATAGCTCTCCACCCGTACCCTGCTCAGCACTGCACTCTCGTCCTTACCGGCTTCCCTCCTTCCGCCTGCATTTCAGATCCTCCCATCGATCCTCAACTCCCTCCGTGCAGAGCTTCTGCTCATACCTCCGCGCGTTAGTGCTTGGGAGAGGGGTCTGGAGCTATTCCCTGGCTATAAAGGCTCGGATATAGGTCTGGGGAAAAATGGGAATGCAACAAGATATGGGAAAGGAAAAGAAACACATAAACCCTCGGACCCGCCGATAGACATCGCTACTCCCTCCCTCGCTCATATTCACGCCTGTCTCTGCCTCATAGACGCCTACCTCTTGGAAGAGTGGATGGGGCACGTTCCATCGCGTTCTGGTGTTGCAAGTGATGGTTCACATGGGACTAAAGAAGAATCAGAAATCCACCGTGCGTTGGTGGACCCGGTACTTACAGACGAACTCGTGGAGTTGTGCGTGGCTACTGAGATTCTTGTGCGAGATTCTGTACGGGATTTGGATGCAACGAACAAGGAAGAGGATGCGGAGGAAGGTCAGGGTGAGCTTGGTACGTTCTTGGTTCTCTTTCTCTCTTCACTTCAATTTCCCGCCTCCTTCCCGAACTCTTCTCCAAACCTTTATCCCAAATATTACCCAGATACTCGCCTACCCTCCCACCATGAACATCAACAGGGATGAAAGAGAAACTCACGCTCCTTTCAACAGCACGCAAAACCCTATTCTCGACCCTCCGTATCCTTACGCTTCTCCCATCCTCCACATCCTCTCAGCCCAGTCCTTCATCTTCATACTCTCGCTCGTCCCCGACATATTCTGATACCCTTCATGGTTCCTGGACGCCAAGCGACACAGCCCTATCCCTGATTACCCGCGTGGTATTACGTGCACAAGCTGGATGGCTTGGGAATCTCGGCAGTGATGGGGTTAAAGGAGAACGGGACGACGAAGCGACGCAGGGGAATGAACAACATGCGACGAAACCGGAGGAGCTAGAGAATATAGGTGCTTCTTCCCCGTCTTTGCCCGGCTCCCGACGTGAATCTACACGTTCCCCTCGAAAACGGACATCGTTTCCTGTTCCTTCACCTTCACCGTCCAAACTTGCGCATAAACCTTCGAGCAAAACCAATGCGCCAAGTAAACTTGGCAGACAGGGTACGTCGCATGGAAACGGCGCGCTGAGCAAAGGTACCAGCACACCGAGCGAAGGAAATGACACAGGTAAAGGGAAAAGCAAGGCCATATCAGTCCCGCCATATACCCTCACACGTGTTGAGTCTTTCGACTTGCTTTGCCTGGCGCTTGGATTGCTTCTGAACTGGGCGTCTGGGGGCATCGAAGGTAGAGGGGTGAGTGAGGGGATGGGACGCATTCGTGAGTATTTCTTTCTCTCCGACTGCCGAATTGTCGTCGATGTCCCTTTTCCTCATCACTGACACTCCTCATATAGTTCTCAATCGCGCCTGCTCTGCCACTCGTAGCTGCTCGCACATTTGTTCATGCCCTCAGTCTTCACAGGTACCGCTACTCTCGTGTTTGGTGTCTGTGTATCAGGCATTTGGCAGTTCTGTACCTGTATCGACTGATTCTTCATCGCGGAAACCCAAAATCGTGTCTGGCCATGAACGTAAACCGACCTTGGGTACCGGCCAAAAGCCGCCATCTGCACGTCAGAAGCAAAAATCACCCTCTGCCAGCCCTAGCTCCTCCTCCATCTCTCCTAGACGTAAAACTGCTTCTTCCCACACATTGAACACACCCAGCATGCCTCAATCTCCCGAACTCACTTTCCTGGCAGGGTACACCGCTGTCCTTCTCGGCCTCCTCTGCACACCCACAGCTCCACATGAGATCCTAGTTCTACGTACCAACCGATCACTGATATTTAGTGACGTCCTCATCGAGACGCTCATCAGAGACGTGCGAGACTTTCTGGCGCTGTATGGCGATCTCGAGGGAGAACTCAGTGACGAGGACGATATTGTAGATGTGGATACGAGTCCAGATGCGGATCGAGGGCGTAGCATGGGACGAGGGCAAGGTGGGGGAAGGGGGAGGGGTAAAGCGCTGGAGAAGAGGAGCGAAGATGTAGCGCGTGGGGTACTAAGAACGCTAGAGGCGCTACGAGACGATGGACTATGAATACTATCTTACTTCCAACTGCGGTGGGTTTGAATATCCTTTCTGTCGATAGTTGGTAATATTGTCGCATCATAAGTATCACGATTCGAAGGAACGATTGTATTCATTCTGTTATGGTCTAACTACTTAAGGGAGACTATTTCAGGAGAGCCGACAGGAAACTTGCAATAATTATATACTTATTGCATTACACACATCGATGAGAGTAACGGCAAGTGCAAAAATTTAAAAGGAATGTGTGAACTTACTGATGCGCTTTGGGGTGCTGCACAACCGTGACCTTCGTAGCTTGCAATGACATACTAATGGACTTGCGCGAGACAAACTTGGTTGCGTTCAAGTGATGCAAAGTTTGTGTTTGCGATGCACAGTTTGCACTTTGCGATACGGAATTTGCACTCTATGATACACAGTTTGATACGAAGATGTGATGCAATGCGAACTTGTAATGTTGAAGGGAGCACACCCTGACATAGTACTAATACATCCCAACACATACAGTCCTCTCCCGTCACAACCAGTTCTTACTGGGGTTCACTAGCACTGGGAATAACTGCTGACTATGTTCCTTTTGAAGACCGCAGTTTCAGGCAGATGGCCGATGCCAACCACTACGATGACGATGGCGACTGTCTCGATGTCGGACATGCTGCCTTAGTGACTATAAACCGTCTAGTAAAGGTTCGTCGTCGACGGAAGCAACACTGCAATCACTGTACAACCGTGCAGCAAGAGCATTTATCCATCGAGACATTACAGTCACGTTCACATTGTTAAGCGCTGCTTTCTCGCTTCTCCCACCTCCCTTTGCTCCTTCACCCGATCCCCTAGATGTCCACCGGAGAAAGTGGGACATCCTTCGTATCACCCTCGAAACCACTGTCTTCTATTCTAATCCAGACATCACTAATTTACCGCAACCACTCCGAGAATTCCTACCCTTGTCTCCCCAATCATTTATTTCCACTTTGTCAAGATAGATGGCCCAAGTGTTGGTCGTGAGATGATAGAGGACTGGCTATCAAAACGCAGTCTATATGACTTCGTACCTTCTACGGGTGAGCCATATCACAAAGTTCTAGAACTATATTACTTGCACGTCTTGCCTCGTTTGGGCGAGTGGGAATACATCAAGAGATTTTTGTCTTACGAGAATGACCTCTCGTCTGACAAAAAATGCGTGAGTTTATTTCATGATCCTTGTGTCATACTGAACACGATATCACCAGGTTAGCCCTTGAGGCTCAACATGCTCACGCGCTAGAGAGTACGTGGCGGGAGACGCCAAGATTCGAGACTCCTCCCTCTCCGACACCAATACCTCCACTCCGCTATCTATCCCCAGCCTCCTCCTCCTCCTCCTCCTCTCTATCTATCACATCCACCCGGACCGTCCCAGCATCTCCTCGTCCAAAACTTACCCGCCAACAATTCGCGTCCTCCACATCAGCAGTTTTAGACTCCACCGTATCCAGATCTCCTTGCCACCGCTACAACCAAAGCATGCCCCGAGGAAGTTCCAGTAGCGTTCGCATCTCCCGCGTTCCGCCGGTCGACGATAGTCTCGCGACTGCACAACCCCCAACCTCCCTAGCACTCATCCGATCTTATTCCAACCACTATTTCACCGCAAACAGAATAGCCACACTATCAGTCTTGTTCTTCCTAATTCCCATTATGTCTTTGATCCTCCGGAGGTGGCAACGCTTGGAGACACCTTTGGACTTGGTACAGAGGAGGTTATCGGAAGCCCGTGGCGATTCAATTGCGAGACGGTTATGGAATGAATTGGTGAGGGCGATTTTTAATACTGTTAGGATGGGTGGTGGGGGACTTGCAATGTGTAACTTACGGTGCACCTGTTTGGTATCAGTCTTCTTAACCAGACCACGTAGAAGGGTACGAGTCGGTGTTAGGTTGTAGGCCGTGTAATTATACATAGTGATATTTCGAGTGGTTCGAACTTCATATTAACAGATGCGTGCACATCACAACTTAGTAGATCGCTCACTTGCTTGCTCGCAGGCTAGCGAGCTAGCTCAAACGGCACCGTTACTTGATAGGAAGTCAGCTACAGAATTGTCCCTGGTACTACTGGTAGGTATAGTCGAGCTTGTTCTGTTCGTGTCGTAGTGCTAGCCTTGTAGAAACATATGTAGTCTGTCAGCAGACTGTGCAAACATCAAATATCATCTTCCCTGAATCCTCCTTACGCAAGCAGCAGGCGCTTGTCACGGTCGTTGTCGACCGATTAGTGGGTGGATTCGCGTCCGAGCCACTCCGAACCGCTCGGCAACTCGCGGTGTTTCCGCATAAATTTACTGCTCAGTAAACGCTCAGTACTTTCCCATCTCACCTCAACGTGCTGCTCGACGACTACGACCACGACGTCCATTATGCTTGCCCGCTCTGCAGCCCGTGCTTTATCCGCCAACTCCCGTACTTTCTCTTCGTCTGCTGCAAGGCAAACGAAAGTTGCCGTCCTTGGCGCTGGTGGAGGCATTGGACAACCATTGTCACTCCTTCTCAAGACTGATCCCCTCGTCACCTCCCTCAGTCTCTATGATATCCGTGGCGCACCTGGTGTTGCAGCTGATGTAAGCCATGTCGACGCTCACAGTGAGGTATGTCGTCACTTGCTACAGACGCTACGGGTCAGTTCAATCAACTTCAAAGGTCAATGGTTACCCTGCAGACAAGCTCGACGAGGCCCTTGACGGTGTCCAAGTTGTTGTTATCCCTGCTGGTGTCCCAAGAAAGGTGCGTTTCTTCTTCCTATCCTCGTGCCTTCTTACACAGTCCTGACCCTGCGTTTTAGCCCGGTGTAAGTCATATAACTGCATCTGTTACTCCGCTCTAATACCTTTTATAGATGACCCGTGATGATCTATTTAATGTCAGTTCAGTTATACATACCTTCCATTCCATTTACATTGCTAATTCGATCTCGGAAGACCAACGCTTCCATTGTCCGCGACCTTGCAGCAGCAATTGGTCGCGTCGCCCCTACTGCCCACATTCTCGTCATCTCAAATCCTGTCAACTCCACCGTTCCCATTGTTGCCTCTACCCTTCAGAAAGCTGGCGTTTACAACCCTGCTCGCTTATTCGGTGTAACGACCCTTGATGTCGTCCGTGCTGCTCGCTTCACCGCTGGTATTGCAGGGGTCAAACCCGCGGACACTCCTATAACTGTTGTTGGTGGTCACAGTGGCGCGACCATCGTGCCTTTACTCTCGCAGAATGCACATGGAAAGGCTATCACAGGCGACATTTATAAGGCTCTTGTCCACCGCATCCAGTTCGGTGGTGATGAGGTCGTGAAGGCTAAAGATGGTGCCGGTAGCGCCACCCTTTCGATGGCATACGCTGGTGCCAAATTCACCAACTCTCTGTTACGGGGTTTGAATGGCGAGAAAGGTGTCATCACACCTACCTTCGTTGAGAGCCCTCTTTACAAGGACCAGGGTATCGACTTCTTCTCGTCCAATGTGGAGCTTGGTGTTAAGTAACAGAAGCAAGCCATTCAATTCATTCGTACTCAAGTACTCTACAGGTAAATGGTGTCGAGAAAATTTACCCTCTCGGGCCTCTTTCGGCTGAAGAAGAGAAGTTGTTGGAGGCCTGCTTGCCTGAACTCAAGAAGAACGTTGAGAAAGGGAAGGCGTTTGCTGAGAGCTCGTAGAATGATTCGTTTTAGATTTGCTGTCCCTCTGCTGTATGCATGACTTGTTCAATGCTTGCGCACAAATGAACATGTCTTAGCAGGTCTAAACCCTTCTTGCTAGGTGCCGAGGCTGTCACGTTAGTGTGCACAGGGTGCAGTGAGCTGCCACAGATAGTTCAATTTGATGATGGCGTCTACTTTCACAAAACTTTTGTAAGTCGGCCGCCAAGATTTGGGATGTACGGTATAGTTACGCAAGGTGCTGACGGCCCTGAGTATAAGGTCCATGGCACGTGTGACACTCTGTGTTCATCGTGCTCACAAAACTCAAAAGTGAGGTACCTTGAAGCAGTCAAAGATCTTTGACCCTTACTTGGCTGGAGTGGCATGTTACTTATCATGCTGCTGTTGCGACCTGATGAGTCACGTTTGATATTATGCGCCTGATTTTTGGTTGCTATATGTATATTCAGCGTGCCATGCTCGTTGATACTGGCACCTCTCTCCTTCCGGCTCTCAAGCATGGATTTAGAAACCTCCATTGACATCTCAGTCAGCCTCCAGTCCCAGAATGTAAGTGATTGATATTTGTTGACATTTGCGCTTCACTCATCTGTAATCTTGGCACTGACAGTATTTTTTCGGTGCTATCATTTCGACCGTAATAATCTCTTTCATAGCTAACAGGGTTCTTGCTAGTATCACTGACGTTTTTTTGGGTGCGCGTTCTTGTCACTTGTCCAACCATCATTCACAAACATCTACTCACAGGTTTACGACTGTTTCCTGACCTTGGACCAGGAGGTGATTTCTTCTTTCCGAGATGTAGCCTGTTGATCAACAAGCTAACTGTCGTGTATAGGTATCTTTGATTCATGGACCAACGTGGAAGAAAGGAAGTATTCTTTATGCCATGGCGAGATATTTGCCAGCTTTCGTGTTATGTGTACACTTGTACAGTGAGTCCAAATAGCATGCTATATCGTCAACTTGCAGCTAACCAGGATACGGAAGTGAACTATCTCCCAAATGAAAAATTTGTGGTAAGCATTTATTGGAATAATGTCACCTGCCGTCCTGAAGATTCGCCGATGTAGACTTGTAAAACTCTACATTCAATGTGGTATGGTAAGTATCGTCATAATGGAATTGCCAGTTCCGCTCCAAGTTTGTCCTTCAGGTGCCTCTGCATTCTGCGTAGCTGGTGCAGAAGGTATCACGAGTTTTATACTGTATTCACGCAGAATACTCACAGGACCTTCAGGTATCTTCATCCTTCGCACCTACGCATTATGGGGAAACAAGAAATCCATTCTGGGCCTCATGTTGTTAACGATACTCGTGCGCATACAGCTGCGTTCTCGCGTTCCGTACTCTGACACACCCCATTCCAGTGCCTGGTGATCGCGGACGTGATAATGACAATAACCATTTCGAGCCGGTTGGAACGTGAGTGTCTTCAAAGAAGAGCCACATGTAAATCGCTCAGTGTGGGTCGACGACAGTCCAGCTATCAGATTTGGGTGGCGGTTGTTACTCACTATCCTACAACAAGATGGCTGCATATCCTTGGACACTTCTGGTAATATTCGAGCTTGGTGAGATCACGAAGCTATAAATGTAGTCAAATTCTCACTTTTTGCGTCAGAGATCATAGTACTCACCATGATTCGTGTATATTGGGCATACCGCGAAAGAGGGTGTCTGCTGCTTGATATCCTTCTACAGCACAACATTTTTTACTTCGCAACTGGGCTAGGCAAGTATTACATTTATGGCTGTCAAAACGGAATTGATCTTTCAATCCTAGCACTATCGGTGATCAATATTGTAAACCATTGAATGGCTACCGGTGCGTACAAATCCGAATCCAACTCGATATCGGCTAAGTGTCTGATAATTCGTTTATGCAGTTCACCTCGTCAGATATGTTCGCGACATTTCAAATTGTCATGCATACGATCATCGTTACTCGGATGCACCTACAGTTTTGCAGCACCAGTCCGGGTTGCGAATCATCGGAGTCCGGAACCACATCATTCTCTCAATTGACACATGTTGAACTTCAGACGTGTTCGCACTCGCATGCATGATAATTCAATGGAACTTTTTCATTCAGACATTTTTCCTGTTGTGTTACAACGAGTGTAAGCCTGTTGGGCTATAAAAAAAAGTGAGGTACAGGCCAGCACTATAGTGCTTACTAGTTACTTGCTAGGCTAACGAGTGAGAGGTGCACAAAATTCCTGGAGTTTGAGAACGAGTTTTCTCAGGCGAAAAAGCGTGATCGTGATTCGAGCTCCGACTTGGATTCCTGTTAGTGTAGGAGGCAAAACTATTTTTGGCTGAGTTTTGATCAAGTGCCGGCACAACTGGGACTTATTCTAGCGAGTAGAGGCGAGCACACACGAAGAAAGAGAGCTAAACAAATATATTATCTCAGTATCCGGAAGGGAACTCGGTGTGTAAGTAGGTAGTACCTAAACAAATATATTCTAAGTGTGCGTTAGCTCGTTATCAGAGACGGGGAAATAATAGAACGTACGTCTCAGTATCCGGAAGGGAACTGAGATGTCTACTGCTAAGGTGTAGCTTTTAAGTACAGGTAGAATATGAATAAAGAGAGATATTGCTTCAAGACATTCGGAGGAGCGTACTTGGCCAATGTCACAATGGATGCACTCATACTCATCCTGATGTACCCGACGGCACTGCTTCTAACACTCCTCCTTGAGCGCATTCCACCTTCATCATCCCTCTCAGCTTCTCCAGGCGAGGTCTGGGCAATGCCTTGGTGAAAGCATCCGCAACATTCTCCTTGGTAGGACAGTAGATGAGGTCGAAGGTGCTAACCTTCACATGGGACCTGATGAAATGGTATCGTAGGTCAATGTGCTTCATCTGGGAATGGAACTTGTTGTTTGTGGCTAGTGCGATTGCTGACTGGTTGTCGCAATACAAAGGGGTAGGGATAGTGAGGGGTCCATACAGCTCTCTAGTGATGCACAGGGCCGGGCCTCAGGCCCTCGAGCCCTGAGGCCAGGCCCTATGTAGGCCAGGCCATAGTGCTGCCGTGGTCCGGTCCTGAACCATGGTTTGAACTGGACTTTTGGTCCGGTTCCCCTGTGGTTCGGTCCACGGTCCAGGTATCAGCCAGAACTGGACCATAGTACGGTTCTCGGTTCTGGCGTTGGGCGAATGGTTCGACTTTGGTTCGGATGGGTCCTGAACCGTTCCGAACCCCGAACCAATGGTATGGGGCATTGTGTGCCACTGCTGCGGCAACTGCTGCGACCACTGCTGCGCTGCTCCCAAATGGTGAGTGTGCATCAATTACACTTACTGCTAGTCACTGGAACCTCCCAATCCTTGTCCTCCAAATGAACCATGGCCAAGTCGAGCATGCGCCCACTCCTCATTATTATAATCACGCTCACAAAGTCACGATCAGACGGTATCATCACAAGTACTTCTGGTCTGCAAGTCAGTTCTCCCATATATCGTTTCAACAACTATCTTCCTTGTCGCCAAACAATCTTTCATATTGCATTGTAGTCTTATTCCTGCGTATACAATGCTATTTTTCTTTCTTCTAAGCGAGTGACTGCGCAGTCGCGGGCATCATCTCAAGACATGGTCAGTGCTACCTTTCTTCGCTTTCTTGGTCCTCCATGGGATTTTGTTACCTGCCGCTTCTGAGGTCGTAATGTATGTTGCTTGATATTGTCGCTGTCACTGAAACCTGGCCCGCGCTAAGTTGATCGTTTACTAGGACCGTTTCGAAACAGAAAGCATAGTACCTCAAGCTCGTCTTCATCCATGAAAATACAACTTGTTCACAGCAGAGACAACGCTGGTCCTTGATGACCGTTCTCTATCTCGGTGTATGTACCTTGACTGGCAATATTTACGCTTAGCAAGTACATATTTTACTGACTTCAAAATATCCTAGGTGCGCTATGTTGGAATAGCATATATTGTGTGCATTTGGAGGTTTACGCTATTGATTCTTTCTGGCCATCACAATCACCAACACAGTGATGACCATGATAATGACAATACAAATTTCAGGGGGGTAAGCTTTAATTATGTATGAAATGTTTGAGTGCATCAGGCTCATTGACAAATACCAGAGGAATACATTCTCTCTGGCATGCTATCAGTGCATTATTGCCTACACGGGAGCTACTTCTAGTACTTGAGAGTGATGTGGTAAGCCGCTGATGGGTGTGCACTGTCATGACACCCACGCTGCGTCTACTATGTGGATCATTAACATTTTCCTACCACATGCAAATTTTGAAACAACCCCTTCGAACTCGATTTCTTTCGCGTTCACATTAATTACCTCGCCATCAAAAATGGTATGTATCCGCTTCTTCCATGTTATTAGCTGACATGTTGTTGTGAAACACAGGCATAGTCTTGCCTTCACTCACCACCCTCTACATGCACAAAGCCTTCCTTCCATCTGACGTCACTCATCCTACCAATTCATCTAGGTATGATTGTGTTTGGCTCAATCATTAGTGCGTGACGTCAAAGGGAAAAGAGGGATAACAGAAGGGGAGAAAAGTGCTGGGTGTCCTAGTCTGTTCATGTGGTGAACCATTACATCCCTGATTAGTCCAACTTTTTGTTCACTTTATTCTATGTATATGCTACTGACAAATTTTCACGTCTGCTTGTTCCCAGACTAAGTTCTTCCCCTCCCTACGACACTCAGTTTGGCTGTCCTGCTCCAAAGCTTAGTAGTGGTGTATCACCCTCCATTTTTTCACCTCCATTTCCAGCACACAACATATTGTACCACCGTCCTCGATGCCCGCCATTTCTGCTTTGTCTACACCAAACACCGTCGACGTAAATGCTGTTGAGTTAGAGCACACTGTATTGTCTGGTTAGTTGACATGTCGACATGCCCTGTGCATAGTTAACTGTTTGTAGTTGTCTGCATGACAAAGAGCTCGAGGTTCTTGGGATACATTGGTCAGACTACGTGAGTTCTGCTGTGGACTAGGGATCTGTCTGAGGATGGGAGAGCAGTGTATGATGACGACCAGCTTTTATATCCTGCATGTACTTTTGGGCACAATTCTAATTGATTTGGCAAGACTCTTATCCTAGGAGACGGGTGACTACAGCGGGTGCTAAGAACGTGGTCCGCCTTGCGACACTCTGGCTTGGGCTTCACCTATCCAAGGCCAGTCGCTATACTGAAAATTTTTGGGTTCAGTTCGGGTTTGGACTGGAAAAAAACTGAACCGGACCACAGTGAATGGTTCTCCATGGTCCAGTTCTGGGTTCAGTGATTTGTAGAACCGAACCAATGGTCTGGTTCTTGGTTCTCTTCCAGGGCCCTCTGAACCGGACCATGGCAGCACTACCAGGCCAGGCTGGGCCCACATTCTGGGCTTACTAGGGCCTAGGGCCTGGCCTGTAGTTTGACTGGGCCTGAGCCCTGGACCTGAGCCCCGGCTTCAATGTTTTCCCTTTGTAAAAAGTCCACAGCACATTTAAACTATATAGTTTTAAATTTTCTCGGAAAGGCAAGTATGTACCGTAAGTTAGTCATATTGGATAATTGTTCATCTCTTTCGTAATGCCCATCGTCGTATCTGACAATGAGTCCACGTCAGGACATGTTGTGTCTCGACCACAACGAACTGTGACACTTTCGTCACGACTCACCGATGCTAACAACGATGTGACTTCAGAGCTCTCAGCCCATAGGAACAAACCTCCCATGCCTGCCATCAGCACCCCAACCCCAGTGCCGACCAGCGGCACCCCAAGGTCCCCAACACCAGTACCAGCCAGCAGCAAATGAGGAGTGGAGGATGATGAATGTGCGTCTGACAAGGGTGTTATGGAAAATGGACCTCATACAAGTAAGTTCTTTTGTACATCTCATCTCAGGACCACTGAGTTCGAACATTGCAGGCAAACGCTTGCGCCACAGCGCAAGCGCCAATGGTGAGGCATCATTCACAGATGCTTCCAGCCCATCTGTAATTGATACTGCAGGTATGTATTTACATTATCTGGTTATATAGCTACTTGTCAATGCTTCTGATCAACAGAGGAGACTCTGAGCATATGCAATGCAACACCTATGGACACCGAAGGTTTTTTATCCGACATCAATGTACAAGATATATCTGCAACCCCAACTGTTTGACACAAGGAAAAGAGCTGTGATGTTAGCGCATTTTTCGGCCAGCCATACGCACACAAGGCCAAGGATGGGAAGACTCATGCAGTCCAAGACTGTGAGCCATGCAAGTAAGTAACGTCTTTGATTTGCTACCTCCCAATCAACAAATTCATAGAAAAAACATTACCCATGCCAAATTGTTAGCGACACTTCAACGTGTCAACGCCACATTGCCTTTCGGCATCCGGTAAGTTTAGTATTTGAATCTCGACGTTTCATTTGTGTATTAACATTTATAGGATGCCTATCGACAATGGTGCAAAACTAACAACTTCGAGTTGATGCTACCTCAAGATGTCAAGGAACGCAAAATGGGCAGCTGCAGTGGTGAACGCACAGCAAACAAGTCTTGATGGGCACCTCCAAGAGATTCCCCCAACAAGGTAGTTGTACCTTATACTGATATGCTCTTCCGCGAGGGCCGCCATTGAATGGCTGATATCTACGAGCCAGGTAAGTATTCATTGCTTGTATTTAATATGATTTCCAATGCAATTTTACAGCCAATCCCAAGCTGTAGATCATCCGAGCTTCAAGAACATGATCAACATAGCAGCCCGTGCTATAAATGGCGTGGTCCTACCAAATTGTAATGCTACGCGCCACGACATCATGGACTTGTTCAAGACACAGATGACGAAGTTAAAGGACCGGCTCAATGTAAGTTTGTGTTTTGTCTGATTACCATCAACTGATATCGCAAATAGAGCAAGCTTGTATCCGGCGTCGTCAACTTAACATGTGATGCGTGGCAGGCAAGTAATGCGGACGGTTATTTTGCTACCACTGGCCACTGGATTGAGGAAGTATCACCTGGTGTCTGGCAGCTTGAATGTGCTGTCCTGGGGTTCATGTGGCTCAACAACTCGCACAATGGACAATGCCTTGGTCAAGCACTGTTTAAGATCGTGGACCGAGTGGGTATTAGTTATAAGGTAAGGTACTTTTTGAATGCCTTGTTGTGTTGTACTCATGTGAGATTAGATTGGCCATATTATGTGTGACAACGCTTCAAATAATGATACGATGCTCGACGAACTGGCACTTTGGATAAAGCAAGGGACAGGGATGATGTGGATCCCAAAAAGCGACACATTAGGTATAGTTAACTAACTATTTGTTTCATGCTTGTACTAATGTAAACCTTGCAGGTGTTTAGCTCACGTCATTCATCTTGCGACACAAGCTGTCATTGCCTCGTATAGGCAGTGCCCTGTACTATAACCCTGAGCTTCCAGATCTGTTAAGACTGTACTCAAGTAGTATCGGATCCGAAGGGCCTTGGCCTCAGCTCGTGCGCTGTGCCCCTTTCCCGAGTCTTGCCCCTTATTTCAGAGTGCTATAGTATTGCGTCTAGTGAGACGGATAAGTATTGTAACGGATCCATTAAGGCTTCCGGATATCGAACATATAGAGTAACGGCTAATCCGGATCGGATCCGAACTAGAACTAACGCATGAGGACTGTCCGAAGACAGAGGACAGATATATAGACTATAGGAATCAATCCTAAGTCTCGGAGTTGACAAGAGTATTGTACTCGAGTCTGGACGGATAATGGAGGGACTTAGAGTCCTGACAGAATGAGTGCAATCTAAGATGATATTCGAACTGATCTACTACAGCGCATGTACAAGGGTTTATATACTATGGATAACTAATGGAATGATCAATAAGCAAAGGTGCGAGGCTATGTACGAAGTATAAGCAAAGTATGTGTACAGCATATTGGTAAGTCGGATGGATAACGAATCATAACTGGGGAATGAAGTATAAGCTAAAGTGGATCAGTAAGTTGTAGCGGATCAGTAAGCATAACGGAAGTAAAGGATAACCGGTATACCGGTGTACAGGAATGCCGAAAGGAGATGAACAATAGTTAGAGTTATATGAACAGGACATGAAATAAGAATCAGATCGGATCTGTGGACCGGTGTGTAGAGACTCGCGTTTCTGTGGGCTCATATGGGCTCATTTTACGAATTCTGACAACTGGCCTTCATGGCACGACTCGCACTATCATCCACTATGACTTCCCTATAGAGTGCACCACTTCCCGCGAAATGCGCCATAGGCGCGACACTTTCCCGCACAATGCACAGTATTCCTGCGTGCGCGCCTTGCGCGCTTTCTCGCGCTTAAGCGCCCTGCATCACGCATCATCCAGGAGCATCCATCCATCGTCCAACCAGTCCCTCGGTATGTCCCTTTTTGTTATCTGACCATATTTAGCATATTACACTTCCCATTTCGTTATGCACCCTTACTTTACATCACCTTACCTCATTTACACACTTAGAGCGCTCCCTATTCGGCTCCGAGCCCTGGGAGAGCGCTTAGGTAGAACTTACATACTCTGATGTTCGTTTTACACCCCACTTTTCCACGAGAATTCCACCTTACCTTCCTACCACTCGGTATCTATCACCAGTTAGTTCCATGCAATGCATGTGTCCATCATCGTTTTGAGGCCCTAGCATCAGTCTATAGCTAGTGGGCACTATCAGTATCCATCTAGATCCGCACTTTTCCCCTTATCAGTCTCAGTATCCGTCGTCTACACTTGTGCACCACTTGCACTACCTTCCCGCGCTCCGCGCACTTTCGCATTCCGCTTTCCCGCACGCGCCTTCAGTGCATTTCTCGCACTTTCACCGCCATTCACCAGGGTTGTTCAGCATCATTCCGTGGATCCTTGCTTTCCTTGCTTCCCCTTTAGGGTCAAACGTTCTTGCATTCTGCGAGTATAGCAGCTAGGCAGAGCTGAGACTCACTTATACTGGCTGAGCACTTTTCTTATATGTGCCTGCCAGGTTGTGATACCCACACCGGATGACGGATATGTCCATCGGATCTGGATTGGATCTGAGATCCGGATCTTTGGATCTGTACCCAGGAATATGGTATATGACAATAAGTGGCTGCCAACCACAGGATATTGACGATATGGATCAAGGAGTGAATCTTTTGGGGACAAATTGGTTAGAGCTTGAACTGCGAGAAATGTCTCCTCGACACGGCCCCTGGATGAGCATAGTCTACTGTGGACAAAGATATGAGCTATATGGCCAGCAAGAGGTTGCTTCATGTTGTGTATTGTGAAGAGAATGTTGCTATCATTTGGGGATGATGATGCAGTTCAATAGAGAACTCCAGCCCTTTGTAATTTGTTGCATTGAGTGGCTGACCTGCTTAGGATCAATCCAGACTGGCGCTCCATGGAGTTGTGCTGGAAGCGTCGAGCAGTTTATACAGCGCAGCATAAAGAGTGTCATCCAACTCAATCTCAATCCATTTCTTTCCACTCTGCCCTGTTACCAGTGTAGTCTTATCCCAAGCCAAGACATCCCGGAGTCATGTACCTCGGCAATCTTTATTCACATACTGGTGATATTCATTGACCATCTCTTCCAACTCTTCTCGAAGGCTAGGATCAGTGAGTATGGGATGCAGGTTGGCACTTCTGCATGTGTGACGCATGAATGTCAATTTCATTTCCCCTGATCACAGAAGGTCAATATCATGGAGATGTAGCACATTTTTTCAATCAAAATGAACCAAATTTATTGCTAGTATTTTCCTGCTGAAGCAAGTAATTGTATCGCTCAAATGTGAAAGCTCACCATGCATGAACCAACCCAAATGATCCTGAGAAATCGCTGAGATGAAGGGCATTGTGATGAATGGGCTGAACCTTTGCTTCTTTGTGCAATTCCTTGTATCCGGTGATATATCATTCAATAGCAGAATCATAAGCAGTGATGTGTTTTCGAGATGTGACTACCATCATTCCAACAACCACGGCAAAGACTAGTTCCATGAAGTTGTTGAGTATTTTTTTTTCCTGCTGATGTCATTGGCCCAAAGGCATATGAGCATAATAGGGAGATTGATGGTACTCGCGGCTCTCCATTGGTCTGCACTGAGTTTACTGTGTGATGTTGATTCTAGATTTGCTGGCACATGGCTAAGCCAAGATGGTAGTTCAGTCTTCCGGTGGTGGAGGCAGAGGCAGTGGTGGGTGCGCAGCTCGCAAATGTGCCACATCAGGCATCAGCAGGTCTTGGTCCTCCCTCTATGCTCATATTAGCAATGTAAGAATATGCAGATAAAGAAAGATATACTTGCCCACTTCATAAGGGCCTTGGCCATTTGACGGCATGTGCCAGCTCGCCGCAAATCTCATTTGAGGCAAAGAAAGTAAAGGACGTGCTTCCTGCAGCTTTCAAGCTGTTGTTGAGTACCTGAGCAGAGGAAAGCCTGTGTGTTGGTAAGCTCCACATTGTAGGTTGTTTGATGATCTTGGTGCTGTGATCCTTCTCAAGAGGTCTCATTGATGAATCTTCTTTGTTGAACTCAAAGTCTAAAGGGTTTGGTGGAGACATGCATATCTTCCTCTAAAAATGCCAAAGAATTCTTCACAGACATATAGACTTTCCGCATGTGTCAAAGACACCAATGGAAAGTCAGTGCTTGGTCCAGATGGGAAACAAGTGAAGGAAAAAATCTGTATGGTAGATGCAAAGTCACTGAATGGGGATCTGCAACCTCTCTATTTGACAGATGGACATGCAAAGGCTGGGTGGTTCAAAGGCATGGCTCAGATCTCCTTCTGGCATCAGAGGATGCTTTATATTGATTTCTCACATTCTTCTCCAAGGTATGTAATCAAGTTTTTGGTGATTGTAATGCTGGTACCATCTGATGGTGTATTCATCTGAATGCATCTCCATCACATGAAAGGTATTGGGGGGGAGAGAGAAAGCCAGCTTTAATGTTATGATTTATAGATTTGATACCAGCAGCCAGCTTCTTCAACTCGAAAATATGCACACTACCATGCATATGCAGGATGGATGTGAATAGCTGTCGATCATATATTTAAGTGTTGGACATCATGGTTACAGCCATATTTACTGTACTTACATTGTATTCAAGTGATTGGAAGTGGTTCTCCACCTCCAGTATTACTTATTTTGCAAGATAGTTGCTCTTCATTGACTCTAAGTTCAGATTAACAATAACCCTTTGACCTTCTTTCACCTACCAAAGCTAATGAACATGTACTGCAAGAGTCATGCTCAAGACATGCTATGATGGGAGTTCACTATAGTAGTTCTTTGCAAACCAGGAAAAGCTGTTCACTCCATACCCAAAGCCTACTGACCAATAGCTCTCATCAACATGATCTGCCAACTCATGACTGCACTGGTAGTAAAATGAGTCACTCATATCATAGAAAGCTATAACCTTCTGTCAAATACACATTTTGGAGGCTGCCCTAGATAGTCTACTGTGAAATCAGTCCTGACATGCCTTCATCCATGGGATTTTCCACAAACTGCTTAGATAAGGCTGACAAGGGAGAAGTTGTCTACTTTGATTGAATCACTTTTGGAATTGTTTATAACCTATCTAACTGCTAAAATAGCCCATACTGTTGCACAAAATCCTCGTTGCCATACAATTCCTTGTATGCTGCTAAACTGACACTGAACAACACATAAAGGATTTTATGTATCCGCACCAGTACACAACATTTGCAGAATTCATACACAATATACATGACCCTAACAAGATACAATGTATACTTGATGTTCCATATGGATAGGGCAGTCTCTTATCATATTTGAGGTGCATACTATACATTGTATGCCACTACAATACTAATCTGTCTATGCC